GGGGCTTGGGACTGCAACTCCCCATAATTGCAGATTTTTATCGTTTCCTTTTTTATTTTATTGCTGTAAAAATCTGACTTGTGCTACTGCATAGGTTGTGGCAGTCTGGATCTGCATCTAGCAATTATACCCACAAATAGAACATATATACATGACTTTGAAGAGGCTCTTCTTCCACTTAACATCTCTAAATCAACAGGACCTGATGGAATATCAGCAGCTGTTGTCAAAGCTTGTGCCCTAAAACTCGCACCGATTCAAATATTTGCAAAGCAAATATTTTGAAACTTGTTGCTAAAGATTTTTGTCTGACACTCTTCAGAGTATAAAACGCAAGAAAATAGATCGAAAACTCTACGCTAGGAGATATATATACTCAGCTGTGGATCAAAATAGGCCAATCAGAAACGCGAGCACACAACTGTTGAGGTTGCCCAAGCAGTGCTGCTTGTCTATTGAGAATGTTACCAATGGAGTCCTAAGGTGAAAATGAGCTCATTTTGTCTACATTATAGTGGTTTTGTCATGTTTATGTAGACAGATTCAAAAACTGCTCAATGGAACGAGGATCGGACTCTACCAATAAATCGAAAAATGTTGTCATTATATTCTCTTGCACAATCTGGGCTATCTAGTAACATAGCGGAATCGCATGCTTTCTTTTTCGCTTTTAATATGCAATAACTGATGAGGCTTTTTTCTCTGAGGCAGTTTTTCTATTGCTAGGAGGGCATGGTGTTTTATTCTATCCCCTGACCTTTGGGACGTTGATTCTATGTAGGATCCTTATGAATGGATGGAAGAACATTTTTGTACTGTAAACATCACGTGGATTAACATCAAAAACACGTTTTGTAATGTCTTTTTTAATTTGACTTTTAAATCGCATGGAAATGTTACCGATCCATGGTAGTTTAAATAAACCGGGAACTTTAACGAACCAAATTTTACTTTAGCCAAAAAATTGCAATTTTCTCCTTAATGTAAGTAGAAATGACATCCTTTGGATCAATGTAAGTAGAAATGACATCTCTATCCGGATAGTCGTTCTCCAGAAAGATCTTTTTAAGAGTTGTTTAGAAAATGTTTATTCGTTTTGCTACCAATTAAACATTTCTTGTGATCGCGCAGGCGCTCTAGCTGTGGAAATCCAAGGGTTTTTTGTCTGTTTTCGTTGGTTTTTCGGTCTCTACGTGACCCAAAAAGCCTTTATCTTCTGTCATATCTTCTGTTTATTCACCTTTTTCATTAATGATCTAGTAACTTCCACGGCTAAAAATTTTCATTCTTTTGCTGATGACACTTATCTGAGCCCTTAATTTTTTTGGATTCTTAGCATTATTCTGCTATCAACAGCCTCTTTCAAAAAATCTTTTAGTCTCACTTCTCACTCATGATCTTACAAACATTGAGTAGTGGGGTAAAGACAATCTCGTAAAGTTTAATCAAACAAAAACTACACAGGTTTTCATTTCACGGAAACGGAACCCCACCATGCCTCCTGTCTCCATGAATAGAACTAGTTTAGACATTTATACTAGTTTTCCATAACTAAGCCTTTCTGTATCATCCAGTCTTAACTGGAAATCTCATATTTCGTCTATTGCTTAACATCTATCTCAAAAACTTGTGCTCCTATATAGAGCACGTGAATTTTTCTCACCATCACAACTTTTAACAATTCACAAGTCCCAAACTCGTCCTCCGTTCAAGTACTACTCTCATATTTGGGCTGATGCTCCTAAATCTTCGTTCTGCCTCCATGACAAAGTCCAATTATAAACCATTCGCCTCATCAATAACTGCAACTTCACAAAGTCTCTTCAGCCTCTTTCCTATCAACACTGTTTCGCTTATCTCGCTATTTTTTCTCGTTCACTGTACATGTCCTCTTGCTTGATACACCACAGGTATTTCAAGTCCTAACCTACCCCCACGATTTATTTGTATTTAGTGACAGTGTATAATATTGTAGATCATGACTTTTTTGTATTAGTAAAAGTGCATTTAATGGTTTAATCACCCCTTCTACGAAAAGCTTTTTTTGATAAAAAGAATATATGAAAAAACCCAGCCTGAATATTTGATCAAACAACAGCTTGCTGGTTCCCAAGAAGCTTTAGACACCGTTGTGAATTGCACGTACATTTTGATGGTTTGCTCTCTTTGCATGCTGTCTCCTTCAGTTAAATTTATCATTTGGTCTATGGGGCATGTTCATTTTGCTTGGGTAATCGGGTTTTCCTTGAACTCTTGAAAGAGGGCGTAGACTTACTGACTTAGTTTGAAACATACAACCTACACTGTTACAACAAGTAGACATAAACTCAAATTTTAGCCCTGACGCAGCCCCTCAGGGACGAAAATACCGGGGATGTGGGAGGTGTGACACCCCCTCCAATCTAAAAAATTGTTAATTTTGCAGGGCAATCGAAGATTTTGTAGGGCGCCAAGAAGAGCTTCATTGCCGCGCAGAAACGCCACCTCTGAAGTTCGTATAGGGCCGCTTAGGAATTTCGAAATGGAAATATCACATTTGCTATGAACCTCCTTTCCTGACATTGCATTTAAGCGAACGAAACAGGTATGTCTCAAGAAAATACCGGGGATGTGGGAGGTGTGACACCCCCTCCAATCTAAAAAATTGTCACTTTTGCAGGGCAATCGAAGATTTTGCAGGGCGCCAAGAAGAGCTTCATTGCCGCGCAGAAACGCCACCTCTGAAGTTCGTATAGGGCCGCTTAGGAATTTCGAAATGGAAATTTGCTATGAACCTCCTTTCCTGACATTGCATTTAAGCGAGCGGAACAGGTATGTCAAGAAGAGCTCAATTATTAGCAAAGCGAAAGCATTTCTTACCGAACGTCATAGCCAATAGATGCAATGATAATTGATGCATAGGTTTATGAAGGCAAGGCTGCGTCCATAAAAATTCATTTATAAAAATTTTTTTCATGACAGGCACGGCGCCACTGGGGGGGGGCTAGGGGGCTGAGGGACCCCACTTTTTAACAGTGTATGAAATAAAAAGAGAACAAACCGTTAAGATGCCGATTTTATTTGATCTAATTACTAACTTATTCACGTATATTTCTATTCCAATAAACAACAATCAGTTTTTCAGCAGTATAGTATTTTGCTAAATTTTAGTCTGGGAGATGCTTTTTAGCCCTTTTACAAGGTATAATTTCAAAAATTTTCTTACGTCAGACCCAACCATGGTGGGTCCTCCTACCTCACAAAACTTGATGTTAAGCCCTCCCGAAACATATGCCATGATCATGTACCAAAGAACATATGCCATGAGATACAAGTTTTATTACAAAGGAAAATCAAATTTGACATTTAATTTACGCTCACGTAGAGAAATAGATACTTCATAGGTAATGACGTTTCAAGTTTTTTTTATTGCTTAGAAGTTTGTCCTTGGTAAAGGCAAATGTACACTGGCAAAGCTTTCACTAGCAACGTATAGACAAACCTTTGCTTCAGAGTCTGCAGGGAACCACTCAGTTTTGCAGGGCAAAACTCCTTTTCAGCCCCAAACCTATTGGTCAAGTTACGCCCCTGCAGCCCCTGTATGCAATATCGGTTATATTTGATATACATTATATCCAGCGTTGGTAATTCAAACAAGTTGGTTAGAGACTTTATATAGCTAGAGACTGTACCAAATTTATATAAAGAAAGAACTCGGCGGGTTCACTTCTATAAGAATCTATATACCATGTGGGTTCCAAAAATGGATTTCTACCCCCTTATCTCTGACATGACCGGCATCGCAACACACCCTTATCTCTGAAAATTGGGGTATGTTACACCACTTTTCTCGGACACAAAAGAAATGTTAAATTAAATCAGCCCCATCAACCTTGGAAATAGATTTGATAAAAAGTAAAATGTAAATTGCCTCAACAACTGACTCTAATAATTAGAAAAATTATAAGAATTAAACAATGTTGATTTTGGTGCTGCAAAAACTTATCTTAAGTTTTGATGCTAATGTGCACCCAATGTGAAATTCATGCTGAAGATGCGTCAAGGTCAAGTCAGAACTGTGTCATGGCATGCTAGGATAATGAAAAGAAGAAAAATCTGAGCCAAATATCTTAACCAATGAAGCCCAGTGCTTAGAATACCAAAAAGTACAAACAATAGTAGCCAGTTAAAAAAATCCATGTTTATCAACAAGTCAAGCTGAAAACCTGGCACAATTCAAGGTTGTGGCAGTTGTTCTGCAGAGTTTCCCATACTCGTACACAAGATAGTACACTGTTTCTGCACAGTTGCCCACATGCACATATTTCTATTTGCTCTTGCATACACAAGAACTTGTAGAGACCTTCCATACGCTGCAGATTGAACTTTGCAGGTGCTACTTAACCTGACTCAATCTTAAACTTTCAAGTAGCTTTCAAGTAGCTATTGTTTTCATCACATCCACTATAAAAGACAATCAACAACACTTGATCTCAGTTTAGCTTAAAGTTTACATGTCGGCATTGTCTCAAAAATCATTTCTACCCTTACAATCCAAAATGTCATATTTGCATTCATTGTATTGTGACATGAACAGCTTACTGTGAGCTTCTTTTTCATCATTGAGATTTTGCTTGAGCATCTTGGGCGATTAAATTTAAACAACTTGCAATCAAATTCATATAACACAAAATACGATCCAAAACCGGATAAAATTTATATAAATATTCTTTCCTGTTGCTACAGGGCTTTGGTAAAAAGGGTCAAGATTGTTTACCCTTTTTACCAAAATCTCTGAATATATTTTTGAGAAACAACCCCTTTTTCCAAAATCTATGTCCCAGATGTGTGTCAATATATTACCCTTTCTCAGAGATTTTTGAAACTCACATGGTGTATAGGGTCATATGGAAGTGAACCCGCCGGGAGAAAGAACAAAGCGATAAGTTATAGGCTAAGATATCATAACGAATTGTGAATGTGACTTTCGCGCCATTTTGTCACAAACCTAAAGGGAGGCAGACTAAAAATGGTTTGCAAGCTCTGTCTTGCCACAAGCTGTGTCAATTCCCTAGTTTTTGAAATCTGATCCTCAGTGTAGCGAAGTCATCGTAAAACGCGTTGAGCAGTGAACAATGACGATGCAGAGAACATTGGGATATTTTTGGAGGAAAAGCTCCGTACAATTTTTAACATCTCCATTTTACAGTGCGAAGAATGCCTTGAAGAAATCTAACGTACTTCGTCCCCAGTTTTCTGCAGTGCCGCATTTACAATACTCATCGTAAGTTGATGTATCTATTTGATGAAAATCTTTGAACTGTTGATTGGAATCATTGCATGATAAGGTTCTTTTTAAAGCTGCAGCTGGTTACAAGTTAAATCAAATAGTGACGAGACAGGTATGTAGGGTGTTGTGCGCGCGGAGATATTAGGACTGAAAGAGTTAGAAACGGTAAATAAACACACATCATCCTGTTTACCGTCATAATTATTATCCTCATTGTGATTATCACTATTGTTATTACTGAATTCACTTTTTTTGATATATTACTTTTACTATAATTATTATAATTATCATCAATCTCCATTTTCATCGATAACACACTGGTCTACATTCTACATACATCAACATCTCCTTTCATACCTTCATTTCATACCATGCACCCACAGTTTTACCAAAAGAAATGATGAAATTTTTGTAAAACAGTCTGGGTACACAAACGCATTGTAATTTTGTAATTTAATTAATTGTAATCTAGGGCTAAACAATCTAGGGACCAAAACAGGGCAGACACTTGGTTAAATATTGGGGGGGGGATGGCAAGCTTATTGTTTTGATAAGATGACAATGTCACATTTCCCCATTGTTTTAGAACAAAAGATGATTGTCCTCCAATATATTTTGGGGGCAGCTGCCCCCCCCCCTAATCCCCAGGTATTCGTGATTACTCTCGTGAAACCCTATCTGTTTGTAGGAAATGTTCCTTAACTTTTACTTCATTTGTAAACTTTTGGTTTTTTTAACTTAGATAATTTATTTGTATTGGATTACTCTTCTTGCTTCTTGCAAGTAACAAATGAACCTTGTTTTATAAAATTTCACCCAGCTATATTTAGCTATGATGTGCATGTGCATAACTTTCTATAATGAAGAAATGATAGCAAGATAGAGGAATGCTTATGGAGTAGAAGACAGGATAAAAACTTTTCTTTTTGTGGATCATCCAGGAAAAAATATCTTCACTTAGACACAAACAAAAGTTTGCAAAAAGCACTTCTGCAAATGGTATCCTTGAAATCTATAACAAATTGCATATATTTTTTACTTGCAATGCATATATTTATATAATTTATATGAACATTTTTTGCAGAAGAGCTGAAAGCAAATCCCTCTAAACAATATTTTTGGGATACAAAAATTGAAAATTCTGAATTATTTGACAAGCATTGAAAAAATAAAAAAAATATGCACAATTTATCAGTAGATACTTTTGTCATTATGAAAGGTCCTAACAGAAAAAGAAGAGCATCAGTATAAAATCTATATTTGACTCTGCTACTGGTTGGGAGGTCCTCTAGAAAGAGGAAGCGCTTATTTTGTATTTAGCTATGTTTTTTGGAAAGGGAAATGTGCCATCATTTCAGATTCAAAGATGTCAGCCTATACCATTTCAGTTTGCTCAAGGTTTATGCTGGACTGCTTTCATGCTGTTAATGCTACTGGAATACTTTTGCTGGCATTGCAAGTAAAATGTGTAAATATTCTGCTGCTTTATTGACAAAATCAACAAACAATTATTAAGGGTGGGAATATTGTTAATGTTGTTATACATACATGTATTTCTTGAGTAACAAAGCTGATTACATTTAAGACTAACAACCAGGCACATTTATTAAAAGTTTTTTGAAATATGAGGAATTTTAGTGCAGAAATTACTTTGGATAACTAGCTGCATAGTTAAACTCATAGTAATACTAAAAACTCATGCATACCTTTTATGAACTGTAAACAGCTTTAGGTGCTTTTTGACTAGCTCTATACAAAGGGCAATGTAACTTCAGAAGACTTTCTATTCAAAGATTAGTCTGAAAAAATTCCTGATTAGGTTACCCTGAAGCTCACATGTCTGAAAGAATTGTATGATAGCTATGCAAAGTTTGGTACCATGCAACACCAGTATAATGTAATCATTTTTTAAATGACTTGAAAAGTGTTATATTATTTCAGATCAAATATTGAAATACCACATCACCACTATGAACATGAGGAAGTTCTTACTCATAGCTACTGCCAAGGAGCTACATCAAAGCCTTTAATAGGTGAGACAATTGGTCAGAGGCTTGATAAAGTGACAGAGTTGTATCCAGATAGGGAATTTCTTGTCTGTGCTGATGATAACAAAAGAGCTACATATGCAGACTTTAGAGAAGAGGTTTGTGTCAACTACTTTTTTATTATAATATAACTAGAAGCTGATGAATAGGTCATTTGCTAGATTCTTAAATTTTGCGTTGAAAGTAATGATAAACTATAGGCTTGAACAATGCAGATATTGGGTCCAATTTAAGTAGAAAGTTTTTAAGATATCAAAATTTATTATTATCTGCATCCAATTTTGGGCTGCAAGTGGTATACAGGGCTTCTTCAGAATAATTTTTACATTTTGTTCTGCTCTCTACATGTATTGTATTGACTTTTTTAAATTTACATTGCTCTTGTTATCTTTTCTATACCCTGGTTTCATATTTGTGCTGTTTTTCTGTGTTACTTATGAATAGATACAAATGATTACATATAAATAATTACAGATACAATTCGTCTTCATAATACATATATGTGATATTTACATGTACAAATGACACTCCTTCCATGATCATATTGCCATTTCTTTGCTCTCTGTACTTCTGTTATTGCTATCAATTGGTCTTGATTTAGATTTTTTTTTGAAAAGTTTTTCAAGGTAGCTTTTAACAAAATAAAGTACTGGATTCATAATGGCATTTACTTGAATACCTAAAATTCCAAAGCCTGTTTTCTGTTGTTTAAAAGTCTGATAAATTTTCGGCCCAATACTCAAACAAAAAGAGACCACAATCAGCACTGTTGTGACACTTAAAGTGATTTCCTTTGACTGTGTCAAGAAACAGGTATTAGACACTCCTTTCATTGATCTCTTCTGTCTGTATATGATACGTATAATTTCAATATTTGAAAATATGAAAACTAATCCAATAGTGATTGTCATGGATATGAATATAATGTTGAGGACTGGTGGTATCACAAATGGTTTTGCCTTTCCCTGCGTGAAATAGTTTGCTGTGAAAAGAGTCATTAGTTGCAGTCCAACTATGCACCAAATTAACACAGAAAGCATACTTGTTTTAAATGGCGTCACTTTGTTCCGATGCTGGATGGGGTATTTTACAGCCACAAGTCTGTCTAAAGAGATGCTTAGAACAAACAGTGTCATTACCTGTACTGTTCCAAAAAAGATGAATGATAATACTGTTATTTCCAAAATGGCAATTTCTCTGGTTTGCTGCAACAATATTGATGTAAGAAAGATCCCTGTTACTGATACAAAGATGTCAGCAACTAGCATGTTTAACAAAAGGATATCAAATGAATTTCTTTTCTTCCAGTTCTTTCCCATGATAACGATGCATGCAGTATTAAGAATAACTGCAACAGCAGCTAATACTTCGTAAGATATAAGTGTTCCATTGGAAGGTCTAGTGATTCCTGAAAGTTGCCCATTGGTCGAACTCATTTTTGCTTGCAAATCGTGAAACTTCAGCTACTGATGTTTTCCTCAAGTTCCAGTCATGCAAGAATTTAATTTTTTATGAGAATTTCAAGGTACTGGATGCATCACTTTATTCTAACGAAATTTCTATAATTTCTTTATTATAAATTCGACTTTTCCGTGACCCAGTTTCAATGAACATAACCAAAGTTACATTGTTACAGCCATAAACATTTTCCTTTCATTCCCAGATCTTCTTTTGGCTTTCCTTAAAGTTGCTGATACCTGTTCTCGTGCGATTTCGATGTTGTCTAATGCTCTTGAGGTTCTTCCTTCTTTGGGTCCTTTCAAAAACCACTACTACAGATGCATGCATGCAGCTGCTCTAACTATCGGTTTCCAATTCCCCGTTATGCTTTCTACGGCTGGCTTAAGCAACCCCTGCAATATATTGGTTTGGTAGGATTCTCGGGGCTACAGTATTTAGTCAAACAATCCTTTAAACTGCAGACTTATGACGGACAAAAGTTTGCCTGTTTAAGTAAATAGAAATCTTTTCTAAGAATTACACGGCTCTAAAGGATTTATCAGTTTGATAGACAGGAATTAAGTTTGTTGTTTTTTAGGCAGATTTGTTTGTGTTCGGCGCGAGTTTGTTCAATTTTGTACAGGTGTTTCCACTGACAGGGCAAGGTCTTCAGCTTTGCGCGCATCTTGTCTTTTTTATCTAGCAGCATCCGCATTTTCTTTGGTAGGATAAACCCTAATACAATTGGATCATTAATTTAGAGAAGTTTTAATTAAGCTGCTGCTGAGCCAAAGAGAGCAAAAAGGGCATGTTGTTCTTCCAAGCTGCATTCAGTTTAGCAGCTCAAGCATGTGCATAAAACTTTGTTAATACGAAAGGCTAAACCGTTGCCCTAAACCGTGGCTCTATAGCATTAAAAGCATGACCAGCAAGTAAAGAAAATTCATTGGACGTATAAAGTGTCCAAACTGTACTTTTGAAATGCTTAGATCGCCCCTTTTTTAAGTATACTTGATACAGTAGAACCACAATATAGCGGCTTTCTGTGAGATACCTAATATATGGCCTGTTTCAAGGAGGTATCGATTATGCAAAGCTGCAAGTATTTGACTCTAAAGAAGTTATATCACCCTAGTAGCATTCGCTATAAGGGGCTTTTTCGACGAAAATAACGCAGGCACTTTTAAACAAAGCAGAAATCTATGCGAGTACAAATGAACACGAATGACAAATAGGCCTGGCGTGGAAGCTTAACAAGAAGAGAATAAACTTCGCTTGAATTAACCCGAATCTTTTGAAAAATTATGCATGCCTGTACAGAATTATTTTTATATAGTGTTGTAAAGTATCTATCAATTGATTTTTGATAATATTCTCCCAATTTGAAAATGGCAATCCAGAGAAGATACTTTAGCTGATTGCCTTGCACCTTTTATCATATCCCTTTTATCATATCCCATCCACACCTGAGCAGACCAGACTTCCCTGTAAATACAGTTAGAAGGAGAAGTAAGAGTCTAAGAAGGAATGTGTTTTTATCTTGAATATATCTTTTCCTTTAGACGTTTAGCTAGACCTGAACGATTTTGTGATTTCGAATCGTACATTTTTTCACACTTTCCTCATCAGAGAATGATATGACGACTTTTGTATTTTTCAGGTTGATAAACTGGCAGCTGGTTTTCTGGCAATGGGGATAAAAAGGGGTGACAGGGTTGGTATGTGGGGACCAAACTGCCTGGAGTGGGTACTGATGCAATACGCCATGGCCAGAGCTGGAATTATCATGGTGAGTGTGTGCCTTTCAGTACGCGATGTATAATCTACTTGTTCTTTCAAAAGAAAAGAGAGAAAGGAAGCATCTTTTGGCGTTAGAATGCTTAGCCAGGAGTCAAGTTTATTATTGTTGATTGATACTTGAGTTTACCCTAAACCGCTTTTCGCTGATGTACTGTAAACTGTTAGGCTTGAAGCATGCTCTCAAATCCCTTTTCTTAGGATAAAGTTTGCAGATTTTTGTTAGGCCTAATTGCAGACGATTTAATATTTCTTTATCTGAGGATAAAGTCAAAATATTTGTGTATACCAACGATATGTGTCTATTTTTGGCATGCTACAAAAATTGTTGTTAATTTTATCGTTGATTAAGTTCTTAGAAAGTTGTAATATGTTTTTAGGGTGAAGGACCCCAAAGAAAGGTTATTTTAGGTTATAGAATATAGGCCATATACTTTGGGGGCGCTAATGATACAACAAAACTTTTACAGTAGGCTGATGAAGTTGGCATTTAACTGAAAACTTTAAAACTTCACGAATGTTATTCAGTCACGCTCTAATCACACTGTTTTAATAACTCGATGAATTCTATGTCGATTTCAGGTCAATATCAACCCTGCCTATCGGTCAAGTGAGCTAGAGTACGCTTTGAATAAGGTTTGTTCTTTCATTCTCTTTTCATTACGAGTGTACTTGCTTTTTCAATATTATCAAATAATGTACAATTTAAAAGAGACACCTTTTTATGTAAGCTACAAGAAAATGCTAAGGTCACAATAGATATAAACTTTGTTCCTCTAATGCGAATTTTGGTGGAGATACGATATTCGCTTAGGCTTTGATTAACCTTTTTCGTGACTTTTTGCAGTAAATCTCTTTTATTGATGTCAAATATTATTTTCTGTACTGATAGGTAGGCTGCAAGGCGTTGGTTATGTTGCCCAGGTTAAAAACCTCAAACTTTTACGATATTCTTAAAGAGGTTGCCCCAGATTTGGAGGTTTCAAGTCCAGAAGAGCTACAACTGGAGCGGTAAAACATTTTTATGCTTTTACTTGAGAATAGACATCCATGAAAGTTTTTCATATCGGTTTGGATTTCATCCTAGTTTGAGCTTTTTCCCGATCCCTAGAAAGGTATTTGTTTATGACCAATCGTTGACTTGAAAAATCACAACCCACGGCGAGTTAAATTTGTTTCCACATTCCATTTTAAATGTGAGATCTCGCCTCGTAATGAATTCTGCATGTAAACTGCTAGTTTTCTCAACCTCCTACAAGTTACTGAGAGATACAGGGGCAAAGTTCTCTCGGACTTTCGGAATTGTTAAAGCTCGCTCAAGATTGAAATATTTTTATAAATGAGTAATAAATTACGCCCCAGAAAATCCCAACCGTGCTTCGAACTCAATACGGGTTGGTTTTTTCATGTAAGGAACTCTTAGCTTGTTGTTAGCGCTTTTTTAGTTATACAGACTGTAGGTTATGCTATTTAGTGTATAGAACTCGACAGTTCTAGCTTGCAGCTCCGAGTTTTACTCTTATTACCAGGCAACCGTTGAAACTACTCTCTCAATGGTTGAAACTACTCTGTTGAAACTACTCCGTTGAAACTACTCTCTCAAATCTAGCATCTGCTTCTTTGCCCATTGTACCCTTTCAACCTGCAATTTGTATATGCACTTTTAAAACAAAAACAAAGAAAAGCCTGAATCTAGAAAAAATAGGTTATTCTGTGGGTGGATTTACTGTTGATATTCACTGTTGATAGGCGTGAGATTTTATGCAAATCTACTAAGCTGAGGTCATATAATCACTACCTAGAACACGTGCTAACCGTTATTCTTTGTTTCATTTTATAAATTTGGCTTTTTAAAACTTATTCCTATGATTTACGAACCAGAGGTCCGGTACTAAAACGTTTCAAAAAATATTCCACTTTCTGTATATTAAACAACTTCATATGCGGATATTTAGTGTATTTTTCCATTCCCTAACGAAATTGTCCATACAGTTGAACAAATAATTTTTCGTTAGCATTATTGGTAGGGTTTTCATTCGACAAAATTCATGCTTTTGATAATTATAGTATCATTCCCTTTTATTTTAATTTTAATTTAAATGCTATAGATTTTGATAATTTTGTTTCTTGTTCATGTTTTATGTTTTTTTTTTCTGAAATGTTGTGTGTAATATGAATTTTATTTTCACCATTAAGATTTCCTGACCTGAAGCATGTTATCCTAAGCGAAGGTGAAGCAATGAAGTATGTATACTTTTTCATTTTGATTAAAGTTTTGAGAATCTTTAAAACCAAGAGGAACATTGCTTAGTTTACTTAGAGTTTCCCTGCTCTCTTTTTGTTGTTTCTTCAATTGATTACTAAAAAATTGTCAACGTAGCCTATCAGTCTCGAGATACTGTAATTTTAAAGAGCTTAAATTTTGGAAAATGTTTTTACGATTGTTTTTACGTATTTTTTTCCTCAGATTTTCACTATGTCAGTCCTTTAAATTCATAATTTTTTATGTGGATTAGTTTAACCACCGTAAGTAATTTAAAATATTTGTTGTCAAAAAAACTGAAGAATTTCACGTATTTCAAGAAATAAAGTAGTATGGTAATTGATACTGCACGATTTCTGTCAAGTTTTTATGGATTAAAGTTTTCACAAGTCACATAAGACGCAATTTTGTATCTTGAAATGATTTAACAAACATTTATTCTACTTAGAGGCACAATGACGTTGGAAAGTGTTTTGAACTTCGGAGGTATAGGGGAGAGGCAACAAATTCACGATTTGCAGAATGTTCTTCAATTTGATGACCCTGTTAATATTCAGTTTACTTCGGTAGGTATTCGTCTATCTGTCAATTCAAAAATCCAGAAATTATCAAGTTTGATTACGATGGCCACTTTTAATTTGAAATTAATTTCATACAATAGATTGCACTTCTCTTGCACCTTTTTTGTTGGTTTCGTTAGACGATTGTTAGTGTTGTTGATGTAGCCTTGAAATCAAATTGAATACCATTTACATTTAACACTTCTTAATTTGAATTCCACGTTATACGCTAGGATAGCAACTATTTATTTACATGTAAGCCAAGAATTGGTGCTTCTTGCTATCTCAGATTTAATCTCTTGGATTCATGCATGCTTCCTTAGTTATATTCTGCCTTATCTAGTAAGCTAGTTCAAATTTTTATTTTTTGCAAACCAATGCAAGCTGTTTTTTCTAATAAGCAAAAGCTTCCTGGATGTTTTTCCTCGTTTTGAAGAATATTTTCTTAGTATCCTGTCTGGTTTCTGATATCTGAAACATAGCATGCGAATTTAATGACATTCTTGTCTTTTTTATATAAGCATGCATGTATCTAGTGCCACTCTAACAAATATAAGAAAATAAAATTAAAATTGTAATATTTATGAGATGATTACAGGACAGAGAAAATAATATTGATAGTAACATATGTTAGCTATTACTATTTTTGTGATTGACAAAGGGTACAACTGGAAATCCAAAAGGAGCCACATTAACGCATCATCAGCTGTTGAACAATGCTTATTTTACTGGAATCAATTTAGACTACAACCAGGTATTTACCACTATCTTTATCGCTTTCTACCTGCACGAGTTATCCAATTTACGATGTATCCAAGCCAAGACCTAAATGTTACCAAACATTTTAAATGTGGAAAACCTTTATGGAGCCTTGAAGGAAAAATGCAAACCATTTTCGTAGTCTTAAACCCTTTTTTGTATATTTTTAGCAAGCGAAAGCGACCCTTTGTCGAAAAGTACGAGGAAAATTTACCGTCAAACTTATTTCTTTAAAATTTTATGTAAGTTCTAACATTTTGACTCACAACTTCACTTTCAAACCAAACAACCTTTGATGTACTTCTGAAATTTGGAAGTACCCATAAAATTTTGGTGTAATGGCTTTGATAAAATTTCGATCTGTTTCCAACAAATTTACGTACTTGTTCAATTTTTGTGTTATCGTTTACTTTTTATGTAACGTCTAAAGTTTTTGTCTCACCTACTTTTTCGTGCAAAGTTTATAGTCAAATTTCTGTGTCTGCCTCGCTATGTAATTTAAGCACATGTGAATACCTCAAAACTAACTCCTATGACGTCATAAACAGCCAAACACAAAAATCTGCATCCCTGTACCACTCTACCACTGTTTTGCTATGGTCCTTGGAAGGTGAGTAAATTATCTTCAATTCCGAAAATAAAATAATTAAAAAATGGTTATTTCTTGCTTTAAGTTTATTTTTTATTAGGTTTTATTTTTTGTTATTTTAAGAAACGAACAGGAGAATTTCGAATTTGATTTAATAGTTTTCATATATCTTTAATGCTGTTAAGATCTTTTGGCAAGGTTTAGCATTGAAAATATCATTCGGACGTCACACCGTATGCCAGGAAAAAATTTTAGTTAGCTTAATTTCACTTATTTATTTCTTATTTATTACGATAGAACTTGACGATGATCGAATTCTGAGGTTCCTGCCTACAAAGCCTTTTAAAAATTATTCCCAACGATACTTTAAAAACAGTTCGGTGAAGCTCAGGCGATAGGGTTGTCAGAAAGTCCATTACAACACATATATCCTGACACCTCTAATTCTATACTTGGACATGTTGTATTTATCGCAATTATTGAACAAATATTTTTAGCAAAATGAGTACTAGAAAAAAAGTACGATTCAACAAGATGATGAACCCTTTATTTTGAGGTGCCTCCACACATGGCAATCTGTTTTACCAAACTAACGCAGGTTCACAGCTTTGTTGAGCAATCCATTAATATCGCGAGCTTACGAAATACAATTGATGCTAGTACCACGTTTATTGCTTTTAAACATATGCAAATAAATCTATTTTTGGGTAAAAATGTTAATAAAAATGTGTTTTTGTTATAGTTTGGCTTCGATGTGTTTTGGTGCTACTGCTGTTTACCCGTGTCGTGGCTTTGACCCTCATCTTACTCTAAAAGCGATCCACAAAGAGAGGTATTTCTTACAGAGATCCATTTTTTGAAGGATAAGTCTTTCAAAGGTCAATTTGTCCAAGATTAGTTGTGCAATATGCATTTTTGTATCCAAGGTTATCCCGTGAATTGAACAAAAATCTGCTTTGTTCATAGCATTTTGCATGAATGGAAGAAGTACAAATGAATCTTTAAAATCGAATCTTCAGTAGAAAAATACCTCTTTAGCCTGGTACCGTATTGTTGTTTTTCAGAAATATGTTGCTGACCCACCCCCCCCCCCCCCCCCCCTCCCATGTCGATTATATTGCATTGTCCTTGCTAGCTATTACCAAATTTTACTGAAAAGACCCTCTGTTTTTTAACGTGCTATATGCTCAAATGATTTCCATTAATATCATTGTGAATATAATCTTGTCTTACCTTTAAGGTGTACGTCGGTTTATGGGACGCCTACAATGTTTATAGACATGCTGAGCAGCCCTGAAATGAAAAATGTTGATTTCAGTTCTATGAGAACGGGTAAGGGCTGTTAGGATTTAGAACTAACTAAATGGTTCTTAAGACGATGATGGAAATCAAGAAATCTCTTTTTTGTGATGTGGTATATCATGTCGAGATACTAAGACGAAGTCCAGGTTTACTTATTTGTTCTTTGGAGAGATATTTCTTGTTGCTTTCATCAAAATATTGCATTCTTGTTATTTAGAGCTACAATTTTTTTATTTTTTTCTATCTTGTTATTTTCATATAACACATTTTTTTACTTTTCTATAGGCGTGATGGCAGGATCCCCGTGTCCAATCGAGGTAATGAAGCAGATAATAGACAGGATGAATTGCCGGGAAATGACAGTGAGTCTATTTCACACATATCATTTCCTTCTCCAATCTTCCCCAACCATATTAAAATATCTACTTCCTTCAATATGTAAAGGAAGGCTGGCTGGTAGGTCTCTTGGATACATTTGGTGTTCGATTGTGTTTAAGGTATTTTTATCAAAGCCTTTAAATAAAGTAAGAACTGCTCATTTTACCATATTTCTTTCATCAAAAGACGCTATCTTTTATGATCTGCCTACGAAAATAAGTTCCAAGCAACCCTCGTTTACAAGTCGCCCTCGTTTACACGTTGCACTTCGTTCACCAGTGGCTCTCGTTTTCAAGGCACCTTTACAAGTCGTCCTTGTTTATAATGCACACAGTAATCAACAAAAAAATTATTTTCCTATCTTAGATTGCGTATGGCCTAACAGAGACTAGTCCGGTGACGAATGCAACAACTCGTGATGATCCTATTGATCTGAGAGTATCAACTGTGGGAAGGCCATTTCCTTGTGTAGAGGTACTTGCAGACGTGTCATTATTTGAGAATACACTGAACATGTTCAAGTACTATATTTAAGGAAAGTGATTAATGCAAAATATGATGCTTATATTCATGCTTGATGAGTCGCAAGTTGCCATTAATCCTTTGTGCGCCGCAAAAGAAGCAAGACAGACAGAGCAACTTTAATAAAATCAAAAGGATATTATTCCCAGGTTGATTCTGATGGAGAATCGTTAACAGGAATGTTTTTTGCTTTTTATATCAATATTAAATATCAATGTTTTCGATTCCGCAAAATGAGGTTCTGCTGAAGTGTTATACACGGCCTGGGGAATGTTGGCTGAACCAAATTGCTTTGTGGGATTTTATGAGATTGCAAAGATTTTGATTCCGTAGTTTGCGCCTATATAGTTCTTATCTGGATTAAAATACCTATCAGGAATAATTTTATAGATATCTAATCCTTTTTTAAGGTTAAAGTCGTCAACGAGTCTGATCAAATTGTCCCAGTAAACACTCCAGGGGAGTTGTGCTTTCGAGGCTACCTGGTAATGCAGGGATATTGGAATGATCCTAAAAAAACCAGAGAAGCTATTGACGACAAAGGATGGTTTCACTCCGGGTAACGTGAAAAACATCCAACATCTGTTACTTGCCGCATTTGATGATTGTGTTTTGTTACAGATTGCTTTCGTTTTCGTCACTTTCTTCAGGGCTTCTTCATTAGAGCACTTTATTTGGACGCCATGAGCATATCATTTTTTTATAGTTTTCACTTTCAAATAGTTTATGTTGTCTTATAATGGATTTGGATTTTTCCTCAACTTCTTTAATCGGATATTCAACAGGAAAATCAAAGTAAGCATGTAATTTTAAAACGTCCAACGTAAACGAGTATGGACGTTTTAAAAATTAAAGCAAAGATATAAGTCAGAAACATAACCGACATTGAATAAGCAAAATAGGTTTTTCAAGTGAATTATGTTTTAATTCTTGAACAGAGAAACTCAGTTTAAAAATTTTTTCGAGAAATTTGTATGCTTGTTCAATACAATTTCTGAAATTAAATGCAGTATAGACAGTCCATAGATTTTCTTGATGATAACATTAATCCTGAAACTCGGATTTGCAACTTAGAACCGTCCTGCTCTTCATACCAAATCGAAAATAGGACACAATGTTTAAAGATTAATCAATCGACTAATAATGACATTATTATTACTATTTCAGTAGTATTTCATCAAGTGAGGGAAAGGCAGCTATATCAGGGAATTTTTTATTAATTTTTCTTCTTTTAGCGATCTAGCTGTTATGGATGAAAACAAATATTGCAAAATAATTGGTAGAATAAAGGTAAATTGAAGACTCGTGCATTTTCTTTTATCCAAATCACCTTACTTTATCATACTTATTATCATACAAATCATACTTAATATCATCTAAAATTTTGTATTGTTAATAAAATTGAAAAATAATTTTTTTAGAGAGGCCAGGATAAAGTTTTCCTAGAATTGAAGTATTTTCCGAGCTTCTAGCATCTTGTTTTTCAATTTTATTAGAGCAGAAACATTTTAAAGTATAGACTTTGTCATTTTTAGGCAATTTCTGTTCTCTAGTCAATTCATGTTTATGTTTTCCTGTCATTTATCATCAAAGTATACAGCTCAAGGGGTAGCAATAGGGCCTGGGAACCAATATTCTAGAGGGTTCCCAAACGAAAACCTTTGCAGATCTTTCTGAGTTTTAAAATGTGCACATGTTGCCTCCTAACCCTATCTCCAATGATTGTATATGTTTGTGCATTACCTATGTACCTTATTTTTAATATAGGCATTTCTATATGTTGTCAAAAAATTTGCCCCCCCCCCCCCCATTGTCAAAGTCCTAACTACCCCCGATGATACAGTGTTCAATGTCATTAATAGCGATTGTATATTCTTTCAAGGATATGATTATCCGTGGTGGAGAAAACATCTATCCTACGGAGATAGAGCAGTTTTTGTACAAACATCCGAAAGTTCAAGATATCCAGGTAACGAACATATAGTGGCCCTATTTTTAGGGTATTCTAGTATATAATATATCTTTTAAATCAGTATGATACGCAAGTATCAAAAATCAAAATGTTCAAATTCACTCATTAGAACTTGTATCATCCATAAATCGCTACTTCAGCGATTGCAAATAGAGCTGTACTATATTTTCTTACTTTAAGACAATATTCAATCATACATGAACAGAATGCCTAGAGTTTTATCAGGCGAAAGAAGGAAGTTATACTTTAGCCTGAATAGTTTATAACTAAAAGGCTTTTAGCTAAATTGGTTTCTCTGCTTATTAATGTTCTTTAATTCTTTGCTTATTTATTTATGTTCTCGAAGTATTAATATCGGATAATAATTAGGGGTAAGCAGAAATTTACATCTAGTTGCGGATCGAGAGTAGCGTGAGAGGAATAATGGCGTGATGGACAAGAAACCAATCAAACGCACCTTCTGCTTACCCTTCTCTCCAGGCATTATCCGACATTTATACTCTGATAAGTTTCTGATGAAAAGTATTCAAGTGTTTCCCCTTTTCTGTGCTATCTTCATGTTTTTTGTTACCGAAGTTTATTTATTCGTTTAATTTCTGATACATTTATCTTTAAAAAATCATTAATGATATAGTGTTAGTAACACTGATTTGTAACTCGCTTATTTTTATAATAAAATCATATGTGGGCTGTAAGATTGCCTTGCAAGCAACTGATTCAATTATCAATGTAATTAATCTTTAATCTATTTGTGCTGTTCTCCCAATGCTTTAATTCTGCTTCGCTTTCAGTAGCACAATTACTTTTCATCCATTCAATTTGTAACTGAATAAGGGTGTATTCTCTAGGTTATTGGTGTACCTGATGAAAGAATGGGTGAAGAAGTCTGTGCCTGGATAAAGTGAGAGAATTAATCATACTTTTTGACGTACTAGCTTAACTTTGCACCTTGCTGAACACGACCTGACACGTCCTATGCTGAACACGACCTGACACGTCCTATGCTGAACACGACCTGACAATTGCATAATGTCGAAATTTCTTTCCAAGAAATGTATTTTTCAAAAATTTATTCAATAAGATGTTTCCTTGCTTGCATTATAGTTTGGTACAATCGACTTAACCAATATTTGTTCATTAGGTTACGGCAAAATGAGACAGCAACTGCAGAAGAGATTAAAGATTTTTGTAGAGGCAAGGTCAGTCTTGAAGGATTGTTTAGTATTAATGTTTTGCAGAGAAAACGTTTAAGTCGTTTTTCATTAAAGAACCTAGGAATCAAAGCTAATAAAATCAGTTAAGGAAACTTATGTCCTCGTGAAGAAAAGCCACAATTTATTTGTAATATATTTAGGATTTAAAAATTGCTCACGATGATATTGCTCATGAAAAATTGCTCAAAAATTGCACATTAAAAAGTTCACTCAATTTAGTTTTGTTTAGAGAGATCCAGATGCTCTTTTTGTTGGTATATTATCAAAACTTTGGCTTGCAATTTCTTCTTCGTTCTGATTCTATTTACATCGGGGATGTTTGCTTGATCAGTGCTACATAGCACTTAGTAGTTTTCATATTTTTGCTTTTTTAGATCTCTCATTTTAAAATACCAAAATTCATCAAGTTCGTGGATGGATTCCCATTGACCATAACAGGAAAGGTAAGACCACATAATATTGAATCAACTGATACTACAGTGGCTTGAGCCCCCTGTTAATCGGCTATTGGCCAGTCAATGACCGTGAGAGTAGAATTACGCTTTTTGATTGGCCAATTCTGATTGATTGAAATTTCAAAGAGAACTGCAATGTTTCGGTTGTTCAGACTTTCGCTTTACAGTGTAAGGATTTTTAAAGGTCGGTGGAAGATATGCTATTTAAAGTCGGTGGAAGAAAAGGTTTGATCTGCTATGTTTAAACATGATCTGCTATGTTTATTTTGGAAAAAAAATCAAATTCAATGCACAAAAGCATTAAATATTGAAAAGAAAGAGGTGTTGGCTTTGTTCGATTAAAATGTTCTGTGAATTTTTCGAGCTCATCGACCATCTTATCAGAAATATGGAATAATAAATATGGTATTAGGATTTTTTAACAGATTACATGCACCTTAAGGCAAGTAGCAATATCAATCCATTCAACATTTTCGTGCTCATATTGATCTGCTTTAATCTTAAAATATATCGATAACAATTATTGTAATAATATTCCCACGTATGATATTCGTGGTGATAATATTCTCACATATGATTTTTTATCATGCCAGATCAAAAAGTTTGAGATGAGGAACCAAATGTGCGAAGAATTGTCCGGAAAATGATGGCTCAAATCTTAGATGACTCAAATATGCAATTTACGTCATTTCGGTAGCCGAAGTGTATTGTAAAGCTTTTTATATTGTTCCAGAATATTTTATAAACTGTTTATGTTTGTGGTGATTTGAAATAGATTTGCGTCAGTGAGAATGCTTAAAAGATCTAACCTTTTCAAGCATATGAACGATAATATAAATGTAAACAGTGTCCGTCTTTGCATTGTATTGTTTTGAAAACTTTGTCACCTAGGAGGTAATTTGTCTTTAGAATCAATTTTTTAAACCTAAGGCAAATAAAGAGCAACGCTATTGCATATCATTTTATAGAAATTCTATCATTACCAAAGAAAATCTACAATTTTCAAACTTGTCACTCTAATAACAGGAAAAAGGCATAGATAGATATTTGTCAAATAAATTTCTATTTTTCCCCAAATTCATTCTCAAATGGCTTTTTACTTTGTCATGCTGCAGTCAAATTGACTAGATACTAGGCCTCCTCTTATCACAGCTCACTCTTTTAACCATTCTGAGTTTGTAGGGGCAACAGAAAGTGATTAAAATCACTTCATTTATCTTGATCTGGATGTTCAATATTATCTAAAGTTCAGTTTGATTTCAGTTTGATGGCATAAATATTTTTACGTGAAAAGCTAGAGAATGCTCTAGATACTTTACTGTCAGATTGATATTTTCGTAATTATGTTTGTTTCTATGTAATTTCCAAGTATGATTAACCTTTAACTCACTGTAGCAAAAGTTGTTGTCTAGTTTGGGTGTATTGTAGCAAATCTTCCTTGTCGTAGCAAATATTGTAGAATCTCGCAAAGAGGACCCTTTAAATCTAAGATCATGCACTTCTTTATAACGCACCTTTAAAAGAGAACAAAGTGTTTATATACTGCTTGATTTTATTTGATCTATTTACTGAGGTATATTTCTATTATTTGTTTTTTATTTGCATCAATTCAGCAGACAACTCTCTCTATCATTGCAATATCATTTTTGATGTGTAATCATGGCCTACTGAAAATACTCAAGACAAAGAGGATGCAAATTTCTGTTCAGGGAATAAAATTATCTCAATCAATACAACAGCTTCTTGTTATTCACATTGATGTGGACTCTGTCACTAAAGTTTTAGCTCGAATCTTCCTCCAAAATTTTTTCTAAAAATCAATAATCAATGTTTTTCTGAGAATCGTCGAACTGTCTATTCTGAACGGTATGGAATTTTGTTAAATTTTAGTCCTGGAGATGCATTTTTAGCCATTTTAGAAGGTTTAATTTCAAAAATGTTCTTCCGCGTCGGACCCAACCGGTGGGTTCTCCTGTGTCACTAAACTTGATTCTTAGTCCTCCAAGGACCATTTCTTTGCGCCTTCTCTGCATTACAAATCTCTGCAATCCTCAATCTCCTCAGCGTCCTATTGGTAACCAATCCCTTTTTGACAGTTTCTTCCGTATACATTGCTACCAAGAGATCTGATCTTTTATCCCTGATTCCCCAAGTATACTCTGAATCTTCCTCGCCTTTCTTTTCTAGAGCTTGTAAACTTTGAAACGCTTTTGAACGCCCTTCTTGCACCCTAGATTCTTATAACCTGTCTTCTTTCAAAACCTAAATTAATAAACCTGATATCATTTTCCTCTTTTTCTCAGCCTTGGGTCATTGGTAAAAGGAGGGGGCACCAAGATTGGTGAGTGCTTGGGGCACCAATGAACCTCGATCTGCTCCTGGATGCAAAATCTTTGTCGGCTAGCATTAATGGCCTGCTTGAAGACTTAACTTCTACAAGGTAGAGACTTCCATGTCTGCCATGCTGTAGTCTACCCTCTACCAGCAAACGATTTAACTGTATTTAAAACGGATGGTGCATACCGAAACATTGAATACAGTATCTCGCGATGCCTGAAAGAACATGTCGGATCGGTATCCCCTTTCATTTTTTTTCAAGTAGCCAACTATACCTAAAACTTTTCAATACTGAAGCATGGAAATTTAGCAACTACGATAATAACAAAATATAACAAAATTGGCTTGTATCTACCTCCTCGTGATCGCAAAGATTCGACTCATTACTGAGTGACCTTTTTGTAAGTGTTACGTCCAACAGACTATCTTTCCCAGCGCGAAATCATTTATGATCAAAGCTAATTTGATCGGGCTGTTTATCAAGCTTTCAAGTAAGTATTTATACAAGATTAATAGCATTTAGTTGGCTTTTAGCAACATTCCAGAAAAGAACTCTTTAGAGACCTGGGAACTATTACACATTCTAAAAACAGCATTCCTGCTAAATTTCATGTCACTGATTTCATTTTCAACAAAGTTATAGAGATAATGAGTTTAGGAGTCAGGAAATAATCAAACATTTGGCATTTCTTCAGATGCGTGTCGATCCAAAACCTTTTAGTGTGTTATAATTATTATCTAAATCAAGTTGCTTGCTATTGATTTTATTTTTAGCGAAGTTGTAGAGCTAAGCGTGTTAGAGGTCTGGGAACGAGTACACGGTCTAAAAATAGCATTTGGGGGCATTTTGACGATTGGTGTGAATCTAAATCATATCACCGTGCTATGATTAGTATCTATACCAATGTTCGTGTCATTGATTTCATTTTCAACAAAGTTAAAGAGATGATCATTTCAAGAGTCTGGGAACAATGAATCATTCTAAAAATAGCTCTTATGGACATTTCCCAGACTGGGTCCCGATCCCATCATTTTCATGTCAAATAGTATGTTTGTTCAAATTTTCATGCTTTTATCACGATTTGCGCATTCATTCTGCTTACCTCCTACACTATTAACGATATAAGTTTTTGGCCTTTATCGATCTGTTTTGTTCTCATGACGAGGCATCTCTATTGCTAGGAATCACAAACCAAGTTTCCATAAAACTACACCATTTTGATATGAATTTAATGTAAAACACCTTTGAATCTACAATCACTGCCAAAATTACTTGGAACACCTAACACTTTGCGCTGTGCTTTTCTATTTTTCATTTGTTTTCTTGAATACTACCACTTCCGCCCCCCTTTTCCCCCAAAAAATTGTTGAAAGTATAGAAAAATATCAAACAATCCACAAGAAAAAGCGTACTCCATAACCCCTTTCTTTTTTCTATAGTAAATCAACATTGTTCCTAGGAGGAGAGGGGGATGGCTGAATTTGCCTTTGAAAACCTACGTTAGTGTTCCAAGACTTTTTGCAGTGATTGTAAATGCCCATAAGGACCTATGAAACAAGACAGACGAATGAAGAGGTTATTCTTCATGGGGACTTACTGTAATAGATTGTTTATATTGCTAGGGTAATAGTGTAACAATTTTTACCTTAGATTACCCCAACTGTATTTTCCAAAGCCATAGACTGCAATATCAATTGCGGAATAATAAAACATATTTCTGCTATTGTTTCAAAACGGTGAAAGAAATGTTGGTGTTCTACAGTGCTCATTTCTCGGGCCTCTTCTTTTCTGGTCAATATCAATGATCTTCCTTAGACACTTTGAGATTCAGTTACACTCATCAATTCTGATGATACGATTCTGTTCCTAAGTTCTAAGAATATAAAGAACCTGAATAAGGCTATCAATAATTACGTTAGGGATTTGGATTCGCGGTTAAATGATAACTCTCATCATCAAATTATGTCTTAACATAGGCTACGTTCACATTACTCCGTTTTCGATTAGATTCGTTTTTGGCAGCAAAACGGAGCTGTTTTTATCTCTGTTCACACTACCCCGTTATCAGACAGAGATGGATATCTATTAATTGGTGTTCACACTAGTTCTCAAAAACCCATCTGTTTTTCTCTTTCTGAAAACGAGGCTTCTGATATTGGCTTTGTTAGCGTTTTCAAATTGTTCCGTTTTTGGTGTTCACACTACAGAGTTACGTTTTTGTTTAGCTCCGTTTTCATTTAGCTCCGTTTTTATCATCGTTTTCATTTAGCTCCGTTTTTGGGGTAGACTAATGTGAACGCAAAGCCAAAAACGGAGCTAAGCAGATGCATTTTTGTTCAAAAATGGAACAGGAAAAGTTTACTTGCACTAAAAATGAGTATACTCCACTTGAAGGTTATGTTTGAAAAGAAGACAAAATGTCTTGGTGTTCAGATTAACAATAGTTTCGATCGGAATGAGCCGATTTACGCGTCTTTGTTAAGATGCCTAGAGTAACCATTATTTTTACGCGAAAAAATTTCTCCCGCAAAATTCCTTGAAAACATTTTACGCCAGTGTCGTTGCTCCTTTCACCTCTACGACTGCTGCACTGTGGCTTCAGAAGCTTTAAGAAAGAGCAGCTAGTGTCATAACTGATAGCAATTTGATGCACGTAGCTTACAAAGGGGCACATCTCGTACCCCATTGGCAAAAATCCTTTTATTTTCTAGAATAAGACCTTAAAAATTCTTTAAGATCCTATTGCTTGGAAATTCATCGTACGCTTTTTAGAGAGGGTTTTACACCTCTCGTAGCATCTAGGCTGGAAAACAGTCAATGCAATGGTTAAACACAAAAGCAGGGCATTAATAAAGTGTAGCATGGCAGATACACGACACGTACAGTAACATAGAGGTGCCAGATAAGCAACATGCAATTGCCAAAGTCATTTTTGTTTACAGTTTAAATACTTCGGAATCGCGTAAAAACAAAGCTTTAAATGCAACCACTTCGAATCGACTAAAATATTTAAGTCAAAAAGTTCTGCTTTGATTTAATTTTAGTTTTATATATCTCTCCAGTTATTCAATATGTTCTTTCGATTTGTAAACATTCGAGAAAATGTTGGGAATAAATATTGACACGTTATAGGAAATTAAAGAAAAATGGTGATAGGGTATCAAAACTAGCATTCTGGGTAGGGCAATGTGGTGTAGGGGTAAGGTAGGGTTTGGTATGGCATTGTGTTTGTTTTCTTCTAAACCTATTGTCGTTATCTATTGTTAATTTTTTCTTGTATTTTTATCATGGCTGAAGCACATTTCTAACACTTTAGTAAAGAACAATTGTTGAAAAGAATTAAAAGAATTATATATTTATATTTTCATGACTTGTTATGAAACAAAGGCAACATTTTTTCAATAAAATTATTTGTTGTCCTAGCTGGTTTAATAAAAAATGTATACCTAAGACTCTGTTTTAGCCCGTATTAGTTATAAATTTCAATTTTTGATAAGGCAACAAAAAAGGGGATTGGCAAAGATACCGCAACAGCTGAACTGAGGGATAATTTTGACATGAGGTGGAAAATCTTCGTGGTGTTCAACTGACCTATGCAAAATTTCACTGAAATGGGCCGTACCTGAAAGGATTTAACAATACTTTTATTTTTAACAATATTTAATGGATTTTCTATCGACAAGTATAATTTTTATGGAGAATTCAGGTTATATCAAATTATACAAATGGCATTTTTCATGAATGGAGGACATTTAAGACACCAAGTCTTTCAAAGACAACGAGTTTTCTTTAACGTGGAGATTATTTGGGTGATAGGAATCTGTTGTTCCGCGCAATTTCTAGTTCAAATTTTTAGTTCCCGCGCAATAATCCGGACGGACCCGCTACTTTTGGCAGTAATCCGCCCGTTCCAGTCACTTTTTGCCAAAATTCGCATCATAAAATAGTTAATAAATGCTGCTGACTGGAAAATTCAAATTTGACTGGGTCATTTTTGCAGGACAATAGGTTGAAAATTCCACAAATTAGCGAAACTTCATAAAAATTCCGTATTCTGTGTATTTTTTTTATAAAAGAAAACCACGCTCTTCAAGTTTGGAGAATTTCGACGTTCTCTGAAGAAATTGCCAGAACTCTTTTTGTCATGTTGTGCAAACCCTAATGTCCCCAACTTTAATTTATAAAGTTAGTTAATGATTATTAGATATGTTTGAATTTGAAACGGAGATGCAATTGTGTTACGAACAGTTTGTGTTGAAATTGGGCATTTCCTATTCCCCTCAATATTGAAACAAATATCTACAAGCATCTCATTTGGAACGTGAGCAAAGAGTACCACTTTTTTCATTGGGTTTTGGATGACAAACAAATAATGACACCTCAGCTATATTTGTATTTTAAAAGGGTTTTCTGCAGATTGTAATCGAGAGAATGGAAATGGAGATTGGTGGTTCCAAACATTCTTTGCGCGCATTCTTCTACTCAGCCAGCAGCTTGAGGGTTTAACGAACAACCCCACTTATACTTGGAATTACCATACATGATCAAAGTTGATTAATCTATCTTCTATCTATGCTGATTAGCTGCGAAAATGGAAAGTGATTTGAACTCACCGAGTAAAAGAATAGTTGCATTTTGCATCTTTGATTCACTTGTACTCTTTATTGAGACAGGCTCATCTGCACTGATGAACAAGGCGAAAGTTAACTTGGCTCTTGATGGAATCTTTCAGTTTTTTCAAAACTTCGTGTTGCTCAACGGTCTATAAAAAACATTTGAAGATTTATTGAATTTTTTTGTCCTTAGAACAGAAGTGAATAAGAAAGTGAATTGAGTAAAAACATGCCTTTCCTATGATGACCTAACAATTTGCTTAAAGTCCCTTTAATATCTTGCCCTAAATAATAATAATGGCTAAGTATTGAAAACGACTTTTAAAATAAATCACATGATAGCAAATATCATACACGACTAGAATATGTAGCGCAAAATTATGTGTGTTTGGAATTTTGAGCCCCCCCCCCCCCCTTCTAATTCACGTTTTTATCAGATAATACAGGGTTTGAAAAATCTGATATCCATTTGAGTCTGTCTTCTAATTGAATAATCCTGACCGGAGCCCAAAACGTGAAAATTCGATTTTCCGCCACTGACTAGCGTACTCCGTAACTTGAGAGTGGGAGGAGGGGGGCAAAATTGCTAGTTAACTGTTAAGATGTTGCTAAAAGGTAAACGACCAGTATCTATGAGAATTCATAAAAATCTTGTTCTTTCATGAAATAAAAAAGACATTTTACAATGAGTCACCTTAAAACTGCACTTTTACATTATCCCATGTAAAGCAACTTTGAAATCACTTATGGTTTCGCAAAAAATGAAACATTGATACATTGTTTAGATACGCAATAAAAACCTATTCTTTTTCAATTGATGTCAGTTCATAATTTTTATGTTAAGCGGGTGACTGTCGGACACAGAAAGCATAGATTTAGCAAGATCATGAGATCATGGGTAAGAACATCTTGCGATTTATCATTCTCGCGGTGACTTGCGGTAATCAATTAGATTGGCTGCATCCAGATGGTCAGAGCAAGCGTATTGGCTTTTATCCTGCAGACCGAATTTGATTACTCGATTGAAATATAACATAAAACTCCTGCCAGGCCGCCTTAATACGAAATAAGTTAGAATTTGATAAACAATGAGAATTCCTTGTGAGGTACGAATGGCTGGACGTAATCAATGCAAGTACTTCTTCAATAGCAGAGAGAAATAGCGACAAGCGTGGGCAAGATTTCTGTCAGGGTGCTGTTCTGTGCAGGTGAATGCAATTGATGATTGTTATCGTAAATCTTGCAATAAGAAATATTTTATTACAAGCAGAAAGTAGCGTTAAATGATTATTTATTCTCTACTTATTGTCCATTTTGATTTGTTTTGATGAGTGAAATGCCGGAATCTGATTTTAGTATTGAGTTTAGTTCAAAGAAAACTAGACACGTTTGAAAAATTCTGAGCTTAGTTCGAAGGCAACTTCAAGATATAGATGCAGTGCTACAAGATTAATCGAATCAAAAAGTTTCACGTTTTAATTTTATCTTGCTGTTTAACTAAACTGTTTTCTTTAAGTCTATTATTTTTAGTTGGTACCACTTTTAGATGTCAGGACACAGGAGAATGTTTTTCTGTTTATACAGACATCTTGCATGCTATAGACGTCTTCATTCTCAAGTTAATACGAAGATTTATATCCTTTGGTTTGTGAAGATCTACTTGACTTAACTGTAACTTTGAGAACTACTATAGTCTGTGTGTGATATTGTTCTAAGGTGTGTCAGAAATCAATGCAAGTCAGTTCTTAAACAGACTACTAGAGAACCGAGCGGCTCTTCGTCGGTGTAGAGTGTTAGTAGTATCTCCTTTTCTATGAGCTGTTTATTCACGACTAGCATGACGTCATCGTTAAAAGTCCAAACCAAGCATCGAACTTTCAAGGTAAACAAAACAGAGAGCCCCAAGGCTGAATATACATTACAATGTGGTATTCGTACGTTTGATCTGGCACTATATTTTATTTGGGGTTGGACAGACGATCGTTTTATCATTGTCTGATTTATGATTGTATAAATGCCGTGAGACAGGTAATAAGAGAAAGAGTACAGATAAAATGTAGGTATGTAAGATAAAATTTTGAAAAAAATGATAACGCTACAAGAAACTTTTAAGAAACAGGTTTTCTAGATTTGTACAGACTTTTCTTTGAAAGAAGCAAATTTTTTCAATCAACTGAGACGCAGCTTAAATTTTGGCCTTATTTGTTTACAAAACGATATCCAAACATGCCAACAAATGATGCATTACACAGCAGCCAAAAGGTTTGTGTGGAATTATTTAGTATTTCTTAGAAGATGACCGAGTGAAGCCAGTTAACATAGGCAAAACAGTTAGGTCTTAGAATTTCAATAGTTTGTAACAGGCAACGCATCATTTAAATCTAGTTTGATAACACTTGGCAGATAAATTCTTACTAAAACTTTCTTTGCAGTTGCAAAATATGCAAAACTTGGTTGTAGATATGCAACTAACGTTAAAATGTGCTGAGAAAATCATTCAATGAAAACTCCATTTTTGACACGAGCCAGTACAAAAAGGTCGCTGATATCACGTGATATCACCCAATATTGCATATAAGCCAGTGCCTTAAGAGATTGATGCTAGCCACGAATCCAATTTAAGAAATTTAAGCTCAAGATGTTACTGCATGTCATATTATAAATAAGGCACCATTTCATTCTTTCCCTATTCAGTTTTAGATCTATTGATGTCATTTCACAGAATTTAATGTCAGGATATATAATGGGTATGAACACAAACCTCGATGTTTTCTTTTTGGTCATGATACTTCTAATTGGATCAACAACCTGTGTGAGAAACATAAATATTGGTAAGTTAAAATTCCAAGTGATGTTTGCAAATTAGATATTTTAAATATCAAGATATTAAGCCAATGGAAGTTGCATGTGAGCTACTTCCAATATTTCAAACTTTCCGGGTATCTTAAGCAGTGAAGTGATCCATTGAAATGGGTCAGTTGTGTGTGGTACTTTTTCTGATGTACTTTAAACTGTGGTGCTTTAAACTAAGTACCAAAATGAAACAAACTGCTAAGGATACCTTTGAAAGTCGACATTAGATTTACCTTTTTAAAATTTAGTGTTCTTGATTAATGTAATCTTGGTATTTATTTACTTTATATGGATGTCTTTGTTTCTGAGTTTCAATTCGAATTTGAGAAGCTTAATGAGAGAATTTTGTGACATTGATTGCTTTCATGTTAAAATGTCGAAATACATGTGGCAGATTTCTTTCTTGATAGCTTTAACTTTGCATACAAAAGTTTTCAATTACATGAGATTTCTTATACATGTTTTGTCATGGCATGAAAAATAAGCACCTTCTACAAATGTGTCTTACATGTACTTGTGTTACATCTATATAGGTTCCAAAGAATTTACGTTACCTAATTTACGTTATATCTTTCACGAAGAATTACAGAACAGCTTCTTTATGTGATAATATTAAAGCATTTTAAAACCAATGTAGTACATTCTGAATTTCAATTGTCTGTCACTGCTTCGATCCAGTTTGTAGATTTAAGAGATTTTTGTGTTTTATCAAAAGATTTTTTGCAATAGCAACAGCAAAGTAACCAACACTGTTTTACTTCATCTGGCAATTTTTGCAAGTTAATTTTGTCATGCTCAGCCCTATGCACGTGCGATTAAAGCTCCGTGGGAGGGTAACATAGGTGACATGTCTGCTAGTTTCGAAATCTATTTTGTAGCAAGAATTACTTTTAGACTTCATTGAAAGTGTCGTAGAATCCTAGCAAACTTTGCCTATGCAATTTCAATAAGGTTTAGGAAATTTCGTTTTCAGGACTGCTGGTGACGAGGCAAGACGTAGACTTGAACAGCTTGCAAAGCAGTATTGACGTCATCAATGCAACAAATGGCGTAATCCTCAATGTGACCAAATTCCCAATCAAAAGTGGATCGCTGCTGAAACATTGTAAGTAGCAAGCTCTAAAGTAGCCAGTTATCTCGCTAAGGATGTATCTAATATATTCATTATTAGAATCGTTACTGCCTGAATAAATATCTAAAAACAAACTTTTTCTTGTACAACAATTTGGCCAAATTCGAATCAGAAACTCGATTGAAGGTTTTGTTAAAAACTGTAAAGGAAGTTGATTTTCACTATTGATGTATCTATCACGACGAGATTCTCATACTTTTGCAAGATGAATCTCGAATTTTATATTAAAAAAGGATCGAGATTTTTTAGCAGTACTAGTGTAGCAGTATCGAGATTATGGTACGCACATTGACATAATCTCATGGGAGCATACTATAGGCATGCTAGCTAGAAGAAATTACAGCTATGTAGTACAAATGTTTCCTTTGTATTTTCCAAAGCCGTACATCCTGGATTTGTTGACTTTGCACACATTCTACTCTCTTGATACCAAAATAGTTCAAACTGAATCTTCCATGTCACACAGATTGAAACAAGGAGAAACTTCTAGCTTTTTCTTGAGACTTGTGTCTCTTTATAGTTTATAATATTGCTGTCATTTAACTTTATAATTCATACTTGTTTCCAATTTGAAGAGCAATGGGAAACAGACATTGTTAAGCTTATTATTCGTATAATCCTTTTCACTAATCCTCAATTTTACAGCCATCAGATGCAATCAACTTACAGACGGGCTTTCTCATGTGGCCTTTATCTTGGAGCCATACAAAGTTGACCCAATTTCATGTGTAATGAGCGAAATATTAAACAAGCCCCATATCACACTGAATCATGAGCACAGGGCACAATGTAGAAATGTGATCAGTTTGAGGCCAGAACCAGAGCAGCTCAATCAAGCTCTCATTGCCATGATAAAAGAACATCAACCGAGAGAGGTTGCTGTTGTCATTGAAGGTAAGGATGTATTTCAACCCTAGCTGTTGCTGAAGACTCTGTGATGTATAAAGAGCAGTATAAAGGTTTATGACTAATCAGTAAATAACTGTCTATCATATTATGGTCTTTGATTCAACAGATTCTTATATGCTTTAAGGAAAATGACAATAATCCTTTCTACGTTGAGTATACTCAAATTCAATACCTGACGACTCTTATAGGTTTTCTCAGTTACCACGACAACATACTAATTGTTATGAATGCACTCTACCTAAATCACATATGTAGCAGTCTTCTGTTCAATTATTAATATCAGTAATATTCTTTTGGATTATGTTTGTGAATGAGAATTCAGAAAAATGACAACAGATGTTGGACGAACAAAACTCTATATGGTTGTAGAAACAGTTTGTATTGGCATGTTTTGTTTCCAAAGCATGTTTTTAACACCAATGGTTAATGCAAAGTTTTGATGATCGAGCTATCAATGATAAATACAATGATGCTGTTAGAAAAACGATGCTACCATAAACCGGGACAATGAATTTTACATTGCAAGATAGAAATAAACAAAACTGAACGTAGAGGGAAATGCAAAAAATATTTCATAGATGAAAGCACTAAAAGATATGTTTCAAAGATTCTGAAATTTTATTAATCTAATTAAGCAGATAAAATATATCTTTCTAGGCAAAATCTGGTCTTGATAAGCTCATTAAATGGCACAAAATCGTTTTGAAAGGATAGGCTATAACAAAATATGAATTATGACATATGGCTGCAATATTATTGATTGGTCTCGAACAGGTCACATAATGTTACATTGTCCTGATTCGTTCCATTACATTGCCCTTAAACGACCATTTAAAGAATGTTTACCAAGATATCATGACACTAAAGTCTTGCAGGGGACGTCTTTTTACCCATGATTCAATGTTTTAAGATATTACATAAAAAGAGTGTTCCTTCTAAGCGAACTTTTTGTGTTGATCTAGTATTCTTATTCTTCTCAACAGATGGACTAGGGGAAACAGCAGCAGACATTATGTCTCATGATCATTTGGTCAACAAGTTGTTCTTTCAAATAATTGGAACAGTGGATTTCACGCAGCCAATCACAATCGGAAGAATTGTTGATGATCTTAGAGCTTCTGGGATAACAAAAGTGCTCCTGGTCGTGCAAGGAGACAACGTCGAAGCATTAATGAGAGAGGTATTTGTGGGGTTGATCTCTTGCCGAAAAAAGGGGCAATTTATATCTGCATATCGGTCGAAAGTAACGCGATAGGAAAAATTGCGCCATATTCCTACCCGCATTTGGGTATAAATGTCTGCTTACCTAAAGGCATTATCCGGCATTTGTACTCGGAGAAGTGTCAGACAAAAAGTATTTAAGTATGCTTTGTTTCTGCTTGTTTGCGCAAGCTTCAATTTCAAGTTTTCAAAGGCATATAAAGTTGAATTTCCATATACATATAAACGTTTTAGTTTGAACGGAAAAGTTTAAATGCTTTTGAACAAAATATAAAGCATCAAATATGCATCATGATAAAAGATTTCAGCTCTTAGGAAGATAGAGGTTCTGCAAGAGCAATTGAAGGGATCTTGAAGAAGGGATTTTCTCAGAATAAGACACAGATTAATGATAAAATTTTTTTAAGGTACTGCATCTATATTAACGATGGTACGACTCCATAACTAGCCCAAACTTCAGTATAGCTTCATTCAAGTCACAAAGAAGAGAATATTCTATCATATACACTAATTTCCCTTTGGTAAAAACAAAGTTTGGCACTTAACAATAGACCTTTATGCTATGATATTGCAAAAGATTTTCCTTGCATTTGTCATCTATAATTACAACGTTATTTAAGTTCAGTGCGCAACAGACATAGGGCGGCAGGCCCGTCTAGACCGGGTGGCTTGAGGGGGGTGCTGGAGCCCCCCAATAAATTTCAAATTGTAATATTTTTCCTTCATATCATTATATTGAATGAAGAGGAATACAATGGACATCCCCCCCCCCCCAAACATGAATTTCGTTCCGATGGCACAGTAGGGTGGTAAAGATACCAGTATGTGCATCATAGCACAAACATGGCCGTTATGGTAAAACCTTATTGTTGGTGAAATTTAATTGTCAAAATTCATTTTAGGTTAGATTTCGTGGACTGAGCAGGGCCGATTTCAGCTGGTATTTACCCTACGCAGTGAGTTATTTCTCCATATTAAACATATTGAAACCAAAGAAAACCATGAACTTTGAAAATTCACGAGTTTGTGTGGAAATCTTCAGAAGCTTTCTAAACCCGCCTGTCGATCGAGCTATCCCCCGTCACTGTAGTCAAATGCAAGCAACCTTAAACATTATTTTGCTTGTTATTTGGTTTAAAGAAAGGGATTATCTATTGGGACCACTTTCAAGAAACTCGCAGCAAACTTATCTGACAATCCTTTCAAGGTCGTTAACTGGCATTCATTCTAAAATATCAATCTGAGGGCACATGCCGCATTTCTATATCAGCTATAAGCGGCTAGAACCCTAACATGTGTTGACAAAAATCTCGCTTGCGTGTGTGAACTTAATGTATTTTTGCATTTTAAGATTGTTTTACGGATAGATTCTTTTAATGTTACATGTTAAAATATTTGCTCTTTAGAAATAATGAATTCTTGGGACTTTTAACAAAATTTTTACCCTAGCTATCTAACCCAGCTATCCTAGCTATCCTACCTAAAAATCTAACCCAGATTTTTAACAAAATTTTGTAGGATTTTAGCAAATTCAGAGAAAGAGCAATATTTGAAGGGGTCTATGGATTGCAATTGCCTGTAGACAACGATCTTCTTAATGAAACATACTGTGAGCTGCGGGACTTGGAGGCAATGCGTCTGTCGAACAGAAAGGCAAGGATATATAACTTAAAATATTCCACACTTTCAAAATGCAAGTTTGAAATGATTATGTTTAACGTGTTAGTATACAGACTCATGACCTTTAGCCCTATAGTAGAAGGTTAGAGCAAACATGAAGTGCAGAACACGTGCACAAACAAGTTAGTGATGAATAAGAAAAAGGAACTCTTGAACCAGGTTCTTATTTGGAACAGAGTATTATTTGGATATAGGCTACTTAATGGCAGCTCTTTTCATCAATACGAGTTATAGAAAACACCCTAATGCTCTATGAAATGTCCTAACCTGATGAAAGGCAGTTAAAACTTACAATGTGAAACGCACGTGATAATTGTTCTTCAGCGTAGCATAAGAATACAGGCTCAAGGTTTCAATTTATTGGTAGGGGATAGATCCGTTGCTTCATGATGCGTTTGAAGTGATTGCAAATGCAGGAGAAGAATTCAAAATCAAGTGCTCACCAGCGAATAGGCAAAAGGACACAAGAAGGTGCAAGGTGAAGCGACAAGGTGACAAATGCAGTTCAATCGTGGATTTCATTAAAAGAGTAAGTTTTTGTAGGATATGTTTGGTTGGATTTAATCGCAGTAATAATGTAAATATCTAGGTCTCTATCAAGAACACTAATACAGTAGCAGTTGGCAGCGGATAAAAGAATCCTTTTTTAAAAACCTTCAGTTAATAGGCAAATGTTTTTGCCCTATAGCAGAACGCATATATATCAATAAAATGATACGGCAAAAACCTACAAATGTTGATTTTGTCCATTATTTAGCTTCTTAATGAATCAAAATTTTCCCGTAATATTAGATGCTTCTCTTGTAACAAGTGTTCAAGAATTTTGGATTATTTTTTCAAAAACGTGGCATTTAGTTCCAAACAACTATTTTTGGTGGTTTCAGGGCGATCTGCTATTTCCAAGGAAAGTCTTCAAAATGTTTCCTTTTGATGTATTATTTTGCTGCTTAATTTGGCAACGAATTCCGTCTACCTTCAGGTACTAGTCCAGCGAGGCATAACTGGTGACGTTAAATTTACTGTATCTGGATACAGAAATATTACTAATCTGAGCGTGAAGGAGATTTCAGACGGAGAGGAACTACAGGTATGTTTTCTTATCTCTTAAAGGCCAAGAGAGTCCAAAAGATGCAACAAAATAGTTTTTAGGACATTGGAATAAGGTTTTCGAACCATGGTAGATTTTCATGAACAAGATGCTCCCAGAAAGTCTTGAAATTTATTTTTAATTTAAATAGCAGGAAAATAACGTAAGAAAAAGAAATAAATCAAAGAGATTTTGTAAAAAGAGTACACTATAAGTGTATAAAGTGAACGTAAAGGTGGGTTGATTAGAAATTATTGGAAAAAGTACTTTTCAAGATGGTAGAGCCACATTCACATTGGTTAAGTCAAATATTTATCGTAAAGTGTGACGACAACAATGTGAGCGATACTGTCTATTGAACAATTTATTTATACCATTCTGCATGAAGCCTCAATATTTTTCAACGTCCTTTGTAAGGCAAGATTGTTTTAAATATTTGTTATCTTTTTCCAGCTCATAATGCTCGTGCGTTTAAAGACTCATTTTTTAGAATATATATTTTGAATATTTTCATTCATCTTTAAGCTTGGATCATGGTCTACCAACTGTGAAACTTTCATTTGGAATCCTGGAACGACCTACGCAGAGCAAAAGCAACAGGGACAGTGCCAGTCTGCTAAGACTGATGCAGGAGATGACGACAATCAGCTTATAGCATTTAAACCAAGAAAGCGAAGGCTCAAAGTTGTTACCTACATTGTAAGTCAAAGATTTATCTTTGTAGTTTATAAGTTTATTTAAATTCAAGTAAAGGCTGAAAAACGTATCCCCATCACTTTTAAACTGGATAGTGCAAGGCTATCTTTTACCTATTTTAGGGCAAAGAAACACTAAAAATTCCCATACTTGAACGAAAAAAGCCAAGTACACATTTGACGGCCATGTTTCATTAGAATGTTTTCCTATAATCAATCGCAGGAGATCCATTCAAGCAGAATTCTTCTTTCATATTTTCAGACCCGTCGAGTGGGGGGGGGGAGGGGAACAATTGCCCCTGGTCTCATAAGCAAAGAGAGGCCAACTGGTAATCAAACTGTCAATGTTTTTTACTTAAAAGAGTTAATTTCAAATCATATCTGCAGTGGAAAAGTTCAACAAATATAATTCAAAAAGTAAATAAATAAAGTTATGAACATGTCAAATCGATGTTAAGCGCGTTTGAGGTTTATGGCTTTGGGTAAGAAGAAGCCCAAACAATAGGCCTGTCGTTAAGCCCGGTGTTGCTCTCTGCGGTCAAAGTATATAAGCAAAACATGGGCTTCAAATGCCAGATGAATATTGTCAATAATTCATATTTCAATTCAGCAAACATTTGCCTAGCATGCTTTGCCTCATAGGAAGAGCCTTTCATGATGCTCTATAACGATTCAGTGAGAAAGGGTAACGACCAGTTCTATGGCTTCCTAAAAGATCTGCTGGATCGATTGAAAAATGATCTAGATTTTGAGTACGTTCTACACGTTGTCAGTGACAATACGTATGGTGTGATACAAAAAGATGGATCTTGGAATGGTATGATTGGAGAACTTATTGACAAGGTAAGGGTTCAATAGACCGAAGAAGCACTCGCTGCTTGTATCTTCTTTCAAGGTTGTGTCTAACTAATGCAGATAGTTGTGGCCCAAAATGGTCAATATTTCATGACATTAGATTATAAAGAAAAATTCAAAAACTGAAAGCATTTATACCAGCCCTCGCACTTTAAAGCATAAATTACCAAAATTTATATTAAAGATACCTATATACTTTTACAATAGCAAAGAAAATTTTTAATCTATTGCGTGTTTCTATAATTTTTAAAGATGTTTATTTTGTTGGGCTGATTTAGTGTTTAGTGTTAGAAAAGGTCGATTTTAGATTTTTTTTCAAAACAAAATTTCTTTTTCAAACGTTATTCTTCTGTGCTTCTGATAGTCCATATAAAATTTGACATCATATAAACTTGAAAGTATTTCAATTCAAAATGGACTACTTACTTTGCTTTAAATACAATAAAGAGGGTCACCAAGCGGAACCTTTTTCTAGAAAGCAGATATCGCCGCAGCCCCAATGACTATCACGTCTTCAAGACAACAAGTTGTTGAGTTCACCAAGCCCTACATGGATTTCTCGATGGCACTGATTATGGAAAAGCCGAAAGGAAAAACTCTTGATCTGTTTGCTTTCTTGAAGCCATTCCATCCAAACGTTTGGGTCTCTCTTATTGCAGTGGTAAATATATATCGAATTCTTTTATTGCATCATAAAGGACTTTTGCTAGTTTTCTTTGTCATGTGCAGAAAAAGTAGATGATTTTTGAGATTTTCACACAGCAAAAAAGAATGACATCCCCAATGAAATGTATCAGCCAATCTCGATTAATAAATTAAGCCATGTTTGTTTGGTCCTCTTTGTAGTTGCACTTTTGGCTAGACTGCAGTTTAGCGAACTACTTTTTTGTTTCCTGGTCGAAAGTTGAATTGAATCGCTACTATAACTGGATATGGAGTAAAACGAATCAATCTATCTATGATGAATTAACGGGGGTTTGGGGGCTACCGCCCCCAAGGCAGCTAAAAGAATCAAAGAGCGAAGTCATCCAAACTGGTTTTGAAACTGATGTATAAAACTGCAATTGTGCGAGAGTGGATCTTTAACTGGCTGAACATCTGAGATTCGAACTTTCGATTGTTTCAGAAACCTTGCTAGATCAAAAGGTCTATAATTCAATTCAAGTTCCGACCAGGGAACAAACTATGGGTCGCTAAAGTGCAGTCGTCCCTCACTCTTTTGACAAAAGACCATAACACTCTCTTGCTTTTTGCAATTCCGTTTAATTTTCGAGAAGAATTATTCACGCGCTATTGTAAAAAATTTTATACTTCTAGCAACTAGGAAAAAGATGGATCTCTAGGGCAAAAAAAAAGCGTAAACAAAAATTATATAGCCTTAAGTTTTACATAGTAACATAAAAAAATTGCTTGATAGATTCTCGAATAGTTATATGTTCTAGGTTTCCTCGTGATGACGTGTAAAAAATTCACCCTAGATTACCCATCTCTTATACAGGGACGTCAGAGCCAGGGGGGGCAATGTTCCCCAACTTTGATAAAAAGACCTATTCTTACAAAGTCTCTATTTTTCAAGTTTTTCTAGTTCTTACACGGACTTTTGGAAAATTGTCCAAACAATGTAACGTTTAATATTACCAATATGGCTAAATATGTCGATATCATTTAGAACGTAAACTTTCATTTTGAAACTGATTCAAATGAAGACCTTTATTTTTCTCTTTCAGACTCTAATAACGGCAGTTCTTATCTTTCTGATCGATAAATACAGTCTCCGTGGTTACAGGAGGTTTGCCTTGGAGGGCAAAGGTGATGCTAAAGGTGATGAGTTTAGACTTGGGAACAGCGTATGGTTTGTTGCATCGACTTTGCTTCAACAAGGTGCTGAGCTCACACCAATGTCCATACCTGGCAGAATCATGGGAGCTACGTTTTGGTTTTATGCACTCATAATGATTTCAACATATACTGCCAATTTGGCAGCAGTATTTGCAAGTATGATTTTCAACTTTTCAACTCTTGAGTTTATATTTGTAGCTAAAACAGCATTTCAAAACATTTTGATCAGACGCAAAAAGTTTCATACTACTTGAGAAATTGCAGCCTTTTCTAACTCTGCCCCAAACATTGAATTGCTACTGATATCCCTGCCCTTACGTCTATAGAATGAAGAAGCGTTGACATAGTACTCAATAGTACTCAAATCCTGCATACTCTAGGCTCCTACCTCTCTCTAATTAGAGCCAAAATTGTAATTTTGATGCCTTTAGAGGCTTGCAAAATGTGTATTTTTACCGTTTCATGCGTGAATTTAGGGGAATGTTTGAAATAATTTAGGCCTATGCATGTATTTTGCAAATGACCATTTCAAAAACGAAAGTGACAACTTGAAAATTTTAGCCACTAAAATCGAGAGCAAGATCAACTCTATTGAAGATTTGGCAGGCCAAGAAGAAATTCAGTATGGTGTTTATCGTCTGGCACAACGTACGACTTCTTTCGTGAGTCGACGATCCCCTTATACAAGACAATGTTCCAAACTATGAATAAGCATAGTTCATATGGTAAGTCGACAACTTCAGCGGTGGCCCGTGTAAGAAAGGGCGGGTATGCATACCTAACAGACGGACCAGTACTGCAGTACAAACATCAAAGAAAACCATGCAATACATTTCTTATCAAGAATCTTTTGATGGCAAAGGGGTATGGCCTTGGGCTGCAGCTGAATTCTGAATGGACACAGCTGATTTCAGTCAGGATTTTAAAGGTAACTTCTTGTAGTTTTACTTGTAATGAATAAAAATTCATAGCACCACAAAGATGAAATGTTCTAATTCAATGTAATTTACCACTGCTCTAAAGTATAGAAATGCCACGTTGATTCCAAAGAATTAAGTCTATTCTTTTAATATCGAAGTTAATATCAAATGTTTTTTAACTTAAAAAACATTCTGATACAGAAAAATAAAAGAAATCAGTGACATTTGAAAATATTTTGATGAAGTAAAGAAAAAACGATCTTCAGTGGCAAAACAACTGAAATTGTTTACTGTAATTTTTGGCAAATGGCAGAAGATTCATTGTTTAAATGTCCTGTGTTTAAAGGAACAATTTCAGTCCTGGTTCGATAACCAGAGAAAAGCTATCAAAAATTCTTCCAAAATATTCAGGGCCCTGTTGTTCCATCTTTTAGACTCCTCATTATTTTAAGACTGCCACCTGGCTAAATTTTGTATTCTATCAAATCTTGTTCTACATCTCTACGTTGGCAGCAGGAGCTGCGCCCGAACAATGCTTCCTTAGCATCATCAATGTTCACAAAATTGTTCACCTGATGGCAGAAGATTTTAGACACAGAGCCAAAATATATGCTTTCCTCCTCTAAGTATAGCATTATAATGGTGACAAATCTCTTGACAGAAATGCTATGTGCACTTAAAAACAACAGACACATTTATGATTCTCACTTTTTGTAGCTGCAAAATCCCTCCCCAACACAACTTACTTGGAACATTTTCCTAGCATGAAAAATTTACTATTGGACCGTGAATTGACGACATTATAATTAAGAAGCTGTTACGGGACTCTGAGTATTGAAACTCTCAAGCACTTAAAAGTGGAATACCCAGCATCGACATTAGTTTCTTAAAAAATAATTGTAATTGAAAAGTTGTTTCTTTGTTATAGCTGAAAGAAGAAGGTTTTATTGAGCAACTGCGTCTCAAGTACTGGGATGAGAGATCCCAATGCGTTCCAGATGGTGCCAAAAAGAAGGGCACGCCAACATCCTTGGATCTTTACAGCATGGCTGGTGTTTACATTGTGTTGGCAGTTGGCACAGGCATTGCATTCATTGTTATGTTTCTCGAAAACAAAGCTACTTCGTGGCTACGTGGACGATGTTTTGGCTGCTTTGCAAAGGAGGAAGTATTCTTCAAGGTAAACCCATCCTTAATTATGTCTAGTAAACTGATTGCGAGAATTGATCGTAGACTCTAACTTCAAAAAGCTCTCAGAATTCCTTCTTAACATTTTATGAGCCAGACAATAAGGCCCTAGACGCACCGAACAAAATTTCAGGAAGATTTTCTGACACACTTAATCTCTATTGTTCATTGAGAAAAGGGATTAAGCTTGTTAGCAAACAAATGCTGGTTTTCCAGTGCGGCCACCCAAATTGTCACTGAACCAAATTCACTAATCCCTCAATGACTCCGTCGTCCTACCCCAGAGCAGGACGAGCTCTGGAAAACGGAAATGATTAGCAATTAACGCATTTTTCTGGTGCCAGACAAAACCCAAAGTAAAATCGTTCTTTGTTTTAAACCACTTCACTATAACCAAACAGCAAACAACCATTTTACACACCAACTGCAGAGCGCGCGAATTTCGAAGCAGAAATCGGATTACCTTTTTCTAACTTGAAGAGTATACTCAATTTTCCACTTTGACAAAGATTACGAGTTTTATGTAAAAAATCAGTGCGTCCAGGGCCTATCTGTTATCGTTTACACATTCCACTTAAGAATTGCTAGTCTATTTTTGAACCAGAGAAAACAAAAGCTCGTCAACTCGTCACTGTCTTTTAACAGAATTCTCAAAGAGAAAAAGCAACAAATCAGGCAATGCTCACATACATGGACTTTCCTGACAACGGACAAAACGTCACCATGAATAATGCTAGCAGTAAAAGGGTAGGTTTCGTTGACAATGATATCGTTTATGATTGCAATCACCTTGTGGTCTTTTCTTATATGCAGAAGTGCGTCAATGCCTGCATTTAAATTGAATACATACTATTTTGGTTGTTCATATGATACTTATATTCTTATAAGTCGTTTAATCGAAACTGAGTTGGTTGACCATTGACAATTGAACGCAGGCCAAAACCGTACTAGCCTGCGTAGTATCAAACCCCGTTTACACTGTGCCGTACAAAATTTAACCGATCTCCTTTATGGGACCCGTTTATACTTGGTCGAGCAAGTTCAATTCAATTTTTTCTTGGGTTTACACTGAACCGGAACAGTTCACTCTCGTCCCCGAACAATTTTTGTCCAAATCTTATGCAATAAGTAGCTAGGACTCGTTTGGATAGATCGTGTCTAGAGTAAACGCAAGGTCTATTAGGGCCTACCAGGACAAACTTTATGCAGATAAAACTGATTTGGGTTTAATGTAAACGGGGTCTCATTCGTCTATGATTATTCAAACTATAGAATTTTACTTCATTTTTGCAGCAGCGACGCGAGCCTCATTCAGATTCGCCTAGATCGACAGAATCAGGTCGATACCATGACGTGGCAGCCAATTACAGACATACCAGGAATGCTCAGTTCTATCAACAAACACACGACCGAGAATCCACGCTCTAAGAAACGCTCTGTATATCATTGCAAAGGTTGATCTCGTTCAGTTGATATTGAAGGGACTGAAAAAGCTATAGCTTCGTTTACAGAACATTGATCTTCGATAGATATAACTTAAATTGGTAATTGGGTAATTGTAAAGGCAGACGTAGGAAGACTATCATTAACTGTTTCCAGCCGGTAAAAGAATGATTCAGGCTCAAGTTCTAAGTCAAACTTAATCTAGCATCGCAATGTTGTGTAAGGTTAACAAGACTTTAAGAACTGCATTAAAAAAATTTCAGAAATGCCTCTAAGTCTATCTACATTTATCTCAGAAATACATTTAAGTACGTACTGGTACTACACAGGGCGTAATAGACACTTTTTGTAGGGTTTTTTATAGCCAAACAAAAAGGAAAAGTGAGCAAAGAAAAATGTACTATTAAAACAGCCTTTTATGCAGTGAGATGGCTACATGACGCTTTAAATTCCCTGTTTCTCATTATCAATAGCCAACAGTCAACCAAGTGCACGACAGGTTGTTTTCAGTAAGCCATGTTGAACGATCCTTGTGTATGCAATAAATTTTGTTTGAAAAATATTCTAGTAGGCTTCTAGCACCTTAGTGTTGATAATTTTGGCTTACTGTTGTCTCTTAACTGTTGAACGTATATTTAAAACATTAATTGAGAAAAAGACAAAGTTATATTCAAGATACTTACTGGAAAAAATATGCAAAAATATGATCATCCAAATTGTAGGCAGTTAATCTAAAACATCTTTTATTGCCATATCGTTTGCTTGCGAGCGCTTCCAGGCACATTTTACTTGGAAATAAGCAAGGCAAAGCGAGTTTTCTTTATAAAATAGAAACGCAAGTATTGGGAACGTGTCTATTAACATGAATATTGGAAGATGCAATATCATATCAACTTATGGTGCCAGATAAGTGCCAGAAACTAAAGCAATTTCATCCTATACAAGCACCAAACTTCTTACTTTATGAGCACCACCGTTTGGCTTTTAGAGAATTTTATGACTGAAAATTAATCAAGTTCAAGATAGTTATCCATAGATTTCTATTTCATAGGATCATCTATTTACAATTTTATATGAAACAGCTATAAACCTTCCCCATGTTTGACCCAAAAAGGACCAATCATAGAAATGAATCAAATTTATAGTTAACTTCTGGAGTGTTCCTGGCCCTCTAACTACGCCTTCCCTAACTACAAGATTATCTTATCTTTATTCCCGTCCCATTTTTAATTTTGCAATATCAGTGAACAATTTAATTTGAAATCAATGTTCGCAATTAAGCTAGCGTTGTGTGTGCTGTTTTATGAAACAGTAGGTATTCTGCGAGCAAAATTTCCAAAAGTACTGAGCACCGTGACAAATAAATCTGGCTTTCAATTTGTAATAATATTGAAAAAGAATTTCTATTAGTGGCGTCGTATTATTGTTGTAAATTTTGTATTGAAGTTTCTTTGGTACATAAAATCATATGCAATATTTAATCAAATATAGAGTTTAGTTGGCATTAAGTAACTAGATATGACTTGAATTTTAACACTTTGTTATTATTTACCTTGTCTCTCAAAAACGAATTTATGTCAAAGAATTGATGACGTAAGTCAGTGGGTACTTTAGTATCTCTGTCATGGTAAGAATGTGTACAATAGCCAGTCATTAAACAAATGGAGATAATGACCCAGGAGGGACGTTTCAAAGAGATATAGGCTGAGTTCAAAAATGGCAAAGCTCTTGATGTTGTAGATTGTATCTTGTATTTTTATTTGGATTTCGTTTGCACAAAAGCCTATCAAAAGTCTTCCTTAAGCCAAAAAGCAAAACTTCAAAAGGCAATAGCAAAATGCATTAGATATAAAGCATCATCTTGATGTGGTTGAAAAATTCTTGTTTTACCTTTTTCCAAGATTTCTGAGCTGGTAAAACATGATCAATTACCAAATGTGGGGCAAAAACACACCATAACTACATCAGAAAACAATCCTTAGTTACAATACTGTGTAAGCGCTTTGTATCAATGCATCTAGAAACCTATCAATTTTCATGAAGCTGCCTTACGAAATAATTCAGATAAATTTACAGGATTTGCAGTAGGTAATTGCTGCATTGACTAAAATAACTCGATCAATTTGCTCAATCAACCCTAAGCCTCCTTTTGCTTGCTATATAACTTTATTACAAACTATTCAAAGAGTCCTAACTGTATATGGAGTTAAATGATGTAGAATCTTTGAAAGGAAGATACGTGGAGCACGAGAAGCTCTCCAAATGGCAGCAAAACTCCATGAATGCGTAACCAAGCCCCTTTAGATCTACCCTATGCTGGATCGTTATGTACCCATTCATGGCTCACCCAAGGGAGAATAATTCGTGCACCTTAGCGTTTTGGTGAAGTTCGCAACACTCCAGTGACCAACCTATCCTCCACCACTTAAAGAATGGAGTATGGCGTTTGGGTGACTTCTATGGCAAAAATTGACATAAGAAGAACACCAGGGGCTAACACCAAGGATGTATTTGAACGTAACAGCATATTATTTAGATAACATAAGATATTGTTGTCTGATAACATATTGAGGTCTGCGTCACTATTTCTGGATTGCGTGATTTTTAAGCATTTAGCAACGCCAATAACCTCAACAGAATACTTGGAAGAAACACTTTAGTACGTTTACAGTGCAAAGGTGTTACTAAGGAGTCTTAGGCGCTATTACAAAGCGATTGAGGAACGAAGGATGACTGTTGTGAATCTGGGAATTCCAGGATCATCTGGCAGCGCATATATTAAGATATGTCGGATACAAAATGTTAAGAATGCTACATACTCCTATCTTTATAGTCAGATAAGAGTCAAACTCTATATTCAGCCTTCATAACTGTCGTTAACAATTGCGATGGGTGTTTGTTTAAAACCGAATAGCTGAAAAAACTGTGAAGCAGTTTTTAAAAACTGAAGATCTTGGCCAAAGCAACTTTCTATTTCTAGTTTAGCAATTTTTGAGTTACCTGTATTGTTTATCACATGGCTCTCATTCCATCTTTGAAGGTTACGTGCTGTTTCCCCGGATGTCTTCAGAATTAATCACGTTCGCTTTGCAATTTTCAATTCTGAATCGAGCAGTTTCTGATAAATTTTGACCACAATCCTACTCGTAAGAAACTCGAATGAGACCAGCTCAAAGTAAATTGATGAAATAGGCATTGGTAAAAGACAATAGCCTATTGTTATTTAAAACAATGCAACTAATGTAAGAGTTGAAATGCAGCGAAAGCCAGTAGCCAATAGCAGAATCTTTAAAACAATTGAAAACAAAGAATGTGGAAACTGACAATCTCTTGGGTTTTCATCGCAGAAGTTGTTCAAAGAAACGCAACAAAATGCATTCTTGAAAGCATGTTATTTATACGATCCACTGAAGCACTACCAATCGTCTGTCTTTCTGAACAAACATTGTTTTACATATATACTTTTATTCACAAAAGCACAGTGACAAAAGTAAGGTGCTAATTCACACACGTATATATTATATTTGTGTGCGGGTTATGAAATACTGAATCGAACAGGATCAAATTGTTTTTTTATTTAATATATCAACAAGCTTTTATGACAACAAAGTTTAGGTGATTATGAAAGAAGGGGTCGATTCTGGGACAGGGCAAGGTTAAAGTGGGCGCTGTTGGTGATGCTATCAAGATTTAAACCACCAATGACATTTAAAACGTAATCGGATGTGGCAATTTCACGATTTTGATTGTGTGAAGACTGATATTCATAAAGGCAACATTCAACATATAGTCCAACAACACATAATTAAATCAGACTGGGATCATTATAAATGTAGAAAGTGCCTTTTTTTAATTGTTGCTTATTAATGGCTTCAGATATGAAATTTTGACACAAAATTGTTTCATTTTTGCTTCAGTCTGTTCTTTATTTTAAAATTTATGTCGAATGAGATTTTGCTATGTTGCATTGTTTTCTACATTTAGAGGTTTGGACGGATAAAGACAACAATGACATTGGCTTAAGCAATTTTGATCATCAAAAGGTTCACATCGTTTAAAGTTCTAGTTTAGTGAAAATAAAAGCAGGTAGACATGACAATGGCGAGCTAAAGGCAACATATCTATTTGGGACAAATTTGAACTGGGAGCTAACAGGGTGGAATGTATTCCTTCAAAATACACAAAATCACATTCAAAAGATTTCGCATTTTGTTCAAACACATTTTATACACGACATACAGTTACTCGAAATATCATGTAAGGCTAATGAATGTCGATAGGAATAGAGTGACAAAAGATACTCTAGCTCAAACCTTTCGTTGTGAATAGCAGAATGGCTACAGAAAGGCATCAGTGATGTTGAAATTTCAACTCTTTTTTATTTACTGCTCACTATGCTGTTAATTTGGATGCATTTTTTCTGGTATGGTATCAGTTAATTTGGAAATTGAAATTTGCAACATCGTATAAAACAAAACTGAAAAGTCTTTTTTTTCAATATGTAAAATAGTTTTATAGCCCATTCTCAAAATCAGAAGCAATAAATAGCATGGGTGACGGTAAGGAACCTTGTGGAGAGACGAGTATCGCTCTAATGCTCGACAGATTACTCTCTGTAGTGCTTATTGGAACGAAGGCTATCAAAGTACTTCTTCGTCGCATAGTCGTAGTCCTTTGTGCTTGTGTGGTAGTCCTCATCAGTTGTAAATTGCGCAGGCTACAAGCAGAAGCATTGGTTAGCGTTCAAGTTATTAGGGTAGAGGTGAAGAAGAGACGGCAAATAGACAGGGTACGCGGGCAGGAATCTAAAATCATACTGACTTTGATCATGTCCTTCAGAGCAGCAAAAAACTAGAATGTTGAACTCTTATTCCGTTTTTAAAGTCATGTTACAAGTGAATGAAGAAAGCGATAATCGAAAACAGATGTAAGGGCAAAATCGAGAAAAAAATACTGGAATGAAATTCTTGATTTTTGTTTACTTAAAGAAATATGAGACAGGGTGATCATTAGGCAGTCGATGCAAGCATACAAAACAGCAATAGATTTGACAGTTGTTAAAAAAATGGAGTATCTATTCAATACCTTTATAATTACAAATTTCAAAGCAGATACAAAACGCATACCTTGACAAGGCCACTATCAACGGCATCAAGATATTTCTTGTGATCCCCGTTAAATATCCCATTCTTTGTCACAAATTCAGAGCTTCGCTTTCCCTATAAACAGACAAGGGGAAATTTAATGAATAGAGTTTAGTGAAAAACTAAATATATGTTTACAAAATTTATGCAGAAATCTGAGCAGCTAAAATTGTAATGATAATTACATGATATTTTTGTACCGACTAGATTAATGATCTTAATGGGAAAAAAGTACATAGAATAAAAACGAAAGTAGATTATTGTTTCTAAAGGAAGGCAATTTTGAAAATGTTTAGATTTACACAAATGGCATTAACTTTTCCCGCTCAATATATTTATCATGCGTTTTTCAACTGAGAATAACAAAGCTACCTTTAGCGGGTCCTTTGGTTTCCTTTTTAGCAGACCGGGATATTTGACTTCAATGAAAAGCAAGATGAAAGCAACAGCAACACCGCATGCAAGAATGATATAAACTCCAGCTAAACTCATGAAGTCCATGGCTGTGCTCTTTTTCACTGTTGCCTCAGTTTCAACTGGGCATGACGACTTTTGATCCCACCATTTTCGTCTCATTTGCTCAACAACGCCTTTCTCTCTCAGCTAATAAAAGAAAGGGTATATGAATTTAGATTAGAACACTTTCCGCTTCACAACTTCAAAAACAATAAAAGTAAAAGAAATTAAAGAGCACTCTCCAAAATCCCGCCTTATTTTCTTTATTTTTTGAGGGAAGCTTGCAAAGCTTGACAAATATGGACCCTTTTGGTCCTGTTTGATAAATTTGGACCTGTTTATTATTACGATAACCCCCTTTTTCCCCCAAAGTCATATATCATTCAGAGTCTCGCATGAACACGAACACTTGAAGTTTTCAGCAAAAGATAAATATGTAGCTTTGAAAAAAATCAAATTTGATACATGCCATGAGAATTTGAACAGAAAGCGGGTTCGTCCATTCTGAGTCAATCCTTAGGCCTAAGCCGTAACTCTTCGCTTCAAGAAGGTTCCTTAGCAACACGGTATCACATGGGCTTTGTTGGTTGTGATAACTCAGCATAGGATGTTCCGTTAGGTAAGCATATCCCCCTCTTCTAACATCCTTAATAGCACTAGAGGTCGATGTTGCAAAAGACTGCTTCGTCTGCATCTGTCCAAACATCTTTCTGTACAGCGGGATTTTTGAGTTTTTAAAGAAGGATTGCGTCTGCCCGCCATCCAGAACACCGTACGCAATGTCATCTTGTTTGGCCAAGTCCTCCAAGGACTTAATTGAGGTCTCCATACTTTTTTCTGCGAATGAATAAATGAGGTTGATAAGCATTCTAAATTTAGAATTTCCTGAAGAAAGATGTGTTGTTGGATCAAGAGGACACTTACAAATATATTCATTTTGATTTCAAATTTAGATCTGAAAGGAAATATATTCTCGGCATGCCCCTTTGAATTTTTCAAGGTTGTGTCTCAAGACAAAAAGAACCTCACAAACTGAACAGGGCCGTTTCCGAAACAAGTTTGCAATAAATAAGAATTCCTAGGTATTCAAGAATTCTCCAAACTTGGATTAATATCCATTAAATGTATATGATCTTAAAAACATTAAAAGATACTTGCTTGTGAAGAAGGCAGCAAGGTTGGCTGTATATGTTGAGACAATAATGATACAGAAGAACCAAAACGAGGCAGAGAGAACCCTCCCTCCAGCACCACGTGGAGTGTAATCAGGACCTTGTTGTAAAAATGAGGCTGTCATGAACCAGAGGCAGTTTCCAAGGTTGAATTCTTCTCCAGTACCTTCTCCTTTTTTAACGGCTTTTAATCTGAATCCATCAGGGCTGTATCGATCCAGAATGTAAAGAGAAAATCCGGCAGCGGCAATCTAGAACATTGAAGTGCAGAAGCCAGTTATGGAAAGGATCAAAATTTGCTTACTAGGGCTAAATAAAATTATTTACAAAATTGCAAAAAAAAAATAAAGAAAATTGATGGCTCTAGCAATTCAGATCATTACTTTGAAATATATTTGAAACACTGCTTCTGCAAGAGTGAGTCCAGCCACATGTACCACACAGGTAGAGATTAAATTAACTTTGGAAAAACAACACATCTTGCACTCAAATCTGTAATAAAACAGTAAGCTCATCATGTTTGCGTATACTCTTATTGGTCCATTACTGATAGGTTTGAAGCACTAGAGGTACTTCCTTGACGTTTTCTCAGGCTCTCATTGAATCATAATCTGTTTGACTTTGTTACTGACACAAAAACAGAAACGTTAACCAGAACAACACTAATATTGCAGTTTGGCCCAAGTCCTGAGCTCACTATAACGCGTTTTTAATTCAAGGTCGTCTTGTTTCCATTACTCAGTTTTCAAGCATTTGACACCAAACCGAGTAATTTACAAGAAAAGAGAGTGGTGGGAACGGGGCCCAAACTGGTACAATAGGGCTGTTACAAGTTGAAGAAACATACCATTGCCAGTACTGAAAGCCATAATTCAAGTTGAAAAGGAAGCAAAAACGTGAAAAAGTTGACTTCAGCCTCAGGTGGCTTCTTCATGATCAAGCTCATTGTGAAATCCATGAATGGTTTTGTGAAATCAATCGCTTTTTCTCTCTCTGCCGTGATTGTCAAGGAGCCAATAGCAATATCAGCGTCCTGGAAATAATAGAATAACGCTATAGATAAGATGGTTTGCGGAATAAAGCAACTGTTTTCAAGCCCAAAACGAATCACCTGCTGACCTTAAGTGAAGTTCAAAAGCTGAATTGTCATTGATGAATGTGAAAATCAGACTTCTAAAATTTAACATTTTGGATTGGCAAAATTTAAGAATGGAAACGTATCATATTGAAGCAGATTAATAAGTATACCATCGAATTGAAGGCATCAAGCTCAATGAAGCACTAAAGCTTTCCTAATACTAAAGCTTTTAAATGAAAATCTCTTACCTTCCTGATCAAATCCCTGATCATTCCATTGGAAGTTCCATTAGACGAAGAGCCACCATAGTTCCCAGGAGTGACAATATACATCTGGTACGTGAAATTCAAGTCCTTGGAGAGCTTATCAATGAGGTCTTTGCAAAACCCCTGAAAGGCTTCGTTTCCGAGCTGACTTTTTGCAGGATCATAGAAAATGAACGGAGGGCCCTGTGATGAAATAAATCTCAATGATCAGGTTTTCAAAAAGCTGCTCTCACACGAAGTCCTATAGATTGTTGCAAACACTAACCTATTCAAAGTCTTACCTGTGTTATTCTTGTTAAAAATAGTTCATAAATTTAAGGTGTGATACACACAGAAAAAAGTAACAAATTTAGTATCTTTATAGTGTTTATTGAAACCTTATTGTGATGAAATTTGCCATTATTGAGAGCAAACATCAAGGGTTCTGGTGCAATCGATAAAAAATCTATTAGGAGCATTCTGTGCCAACATTCAGTAATTTCTTGCCGATTCCATCACATAACGGTTTGTGTAACAAAGATTACTTTTCAACGGAAAAAATAGCACCGTTCGATACCGCACAGACAGAGCTTTGGTGTATTGAACAAGATTGTTTTAAAGTTGAAGCTCCAAGCTTAACAATTATTGATATCATTAGGCCGTAAGCAGAAAAGCTGATTATAGGATTGTATTGATGAAACATGTAAAGCATTAAAAGACTACCTCGCTGGTCACAACCCTCAAATGTGTATTTTGTGGTTGAAAATCCGTATGCTTTCCTGAAGACTCTTCAATCACCCTGCATCCTGACTCGACCAGCTTTCGATCGTCTTTAGCATTTGGATTCCAAATCATCTTTTTACATTGTGATGACCAAATACCAAGCTTCAAGGAATATTCGAATAGTCAAAATCATCTATTCAAGTTTGAGATTAATTTTTCTAAACTTGTTTGAACGAATTCTACCGAATTCTTTAGGCTAGCCGGGGCGGAAGGGGTGGGGGGGGGGTATCACTGTTTGAATTTTGTAAAGCAAGATACGAAAGTACTGTTTTAGCATCCTGAATACATTGTGTAAATTATTAGCTAAAAACTTATAAAAATTCCATTTACATTGGCTAAAGCATACATCCAAATATCTCATAAGAGCAACTTAAAGTATTTTCTTCACTTTACTTTTCTTTTCCTTACCTTAGCTTACTTTTCCTCTCCTTAACTTACCATACCTCACTTTCGCTTACCTTAACATACCTTCCGTTAAAACACTTTGTCTTACGTTGCCTTAAACAACTTGCCCGACCATAACTTGGCCAACCAGATCTTACCATTCTTTAAATACCTTACGCTACCTTACCACTGAAGATAAAATTTTTGCAGTCACAAGCATTGTTTAGAATACTTTTGAAGCTTAAGATCATAAATTTTTTACGTATCTCAAATAAGATGGGTAGCATAGGCTTCTTGTGACAGTTTGTAATGCATTTATCACAACATAGGTATCTTATTACATAAGGTAGGTAGATGTTCTTTCTGCAAATGAATTACCCCTTTTTTATTGAGCCAGCTGTAGAAATAGATGTCACCTTGATAGACTCACCTTCTCTATATTTCCGCCTTCTTTGATTTCAGTCGCTTCCAAATCAGAAACATCTCTATATCCGGATTTTAAGAAACGGACATTACCTGTCCTTCCATGAAATGTAATCTGAACGACGCAAGAAAAGTGAGACAGCTTTGTAAATATAGAAGAGATAACGAATACATGATCACTAAACAGGACAGTAGGCTGTTTGCTTACAGTATGTGAGACTTTTAAGAAGAGTTTTTGCATGTGAATCTTATCAATCCCCTTATCAATTATGTGCTGTCTTCAAAATTTCTCATTGCATCGCATTGCATCAACTGGTAGCTTTCGACAGGGTCCTTTAGCGATTTAGTTTGCAGCAACTTTTTTATGGATATGCTGTGGCATCAAACAGCATTTCAAATAGAATAATTTGTTTAGGGTAGATTTAATTTTTGACTGATATAGTTACCAACAATATCGTTTCCTGCTCAGAAAAAATTCAAAAGTATAAATTAATGTTCACATTTAGGTTTAGAGACACAATTTTTTAGGGAGAGGGGATTTTAACATTAGTTTACCGTTAGGAATACAGTTTGTCTGGAATACAGTTTGTCTAAAATTTATACTGATCGGCTCAAACAGTTTTACTCCAACATTACAACTGTTTAGCAAGTCTAAAAAAACTTTTCTGCACCTACACCCCTTGGACAAAAGTCATGGGTTACACTACAACTACCTTTTTAGCAATTTGCAGCAACTCCATCCCATAATCGTGCTCTTCTTTTGAAGGGCAAAAGTTTTTATCAACTCTGTCTCTGTCTCTGGCTTTTATTTCCAGAAATTTCTCGATTTTCGAAAACTGTACTGAAGCATTTAACACCAAGTTGAAGGCGTCATATAGCGCTGGGTAGTTCTGAAAGAAAAAAGTAGAGAAAGCTATTATTCATTCTAGGAAATTTTTCATCTTACATAAAAACCAATGAGTTATGATATGAATTTTTTGGCCATTACTGAGTCATACTCAAATAAAAAGAGTTTTCATGGGAAGTAGTGTGTGCTGATATCATATGTATCCAGTATTTTGGTCGAACTTCTTATATTTTTCTTCATTGTGATAGCAATCGCTTTGATAATTCTTAAGATGTTTTTTAATTTTGGACAAGGAATTTTGACAAATTATGCACCCAGCTCTCCATTCTCTGTTGGCAACATTATTCACTGATCGAAAGAGATGATCTAGGGCAAATTCTAAGACTGTCCAGTTATATCGTTTCTTTGGCATTTTAAAAGAAGCTTTGGCTTTGTACAAGCGTTAATTGTCTTATGCGAATGAATTCTTATACGCCTTCCTTGTAATCGTAAGATGAGCATGTCCTACAGAAGAAGTTCCAGAGCCACACAGCTTAGCCAACAAGTGGGTCATGTGAAAGGGTCAATTATGTTGGAAGCACTCACACATTGTCCGTTGACATTTGTCTTTGGCTGATTTGATGGGATCCGGACTCCGGCAACATTAAACAACCGATGGATATTTACAAGACCAACTGAAAATTCCTGAAACAGAATTTTCGTTAACACTATTGAACTGAAGCAAACATAGAATACAGCAATAAATGGCAATTGTGTTTCATGAATACTTGATATCTCAAGAACTCTTTGCATGTATGACATGCATTTATTGTGCCATTTCCAGACAGAAAATCTGGGGTATACTAAAAAGAGGCTACTGTTGTTTTAATGATCATTTCATAATCACGATAAACAAATGATGAAAACACACAAAAAACATATACAAGGAGCAACTGCCTTAAATATTTGCCAAGTAGCAAAGCAAATCTATAAAAGATTACGTACCATAAGTGGAAGAAACCATTTGTAGTCATCTAACTCAAGGCCTTGATTTCTAACCTAGAAGACAAAGGGTTCTTATGTATTAACATAAATCGTAAATTTCCTCTCTTACTAGCCCCTTTTTCATCAAAGAAAATAGTATTAATTGAAACTTGCACCTCTATTTCTAATAAAATTTTTCATTGAACGCGTATCCTAAGTGGATTGGAAACATGATGAATTCAATTAGATACTTCCATGTTCTCCTAAATCATTAGTTTTAAATTATTTGACCTGTGCCTTTACACACACTGTATTACAGCAAGGCATTTCAAGTTTATTTTGTCTTCAAATCAAATTCCATTTTCCTAGTTTTTGGCCATAACATAGTTTCTGTCAGAAAAAGGCGAATGCGCCTTTTGTTATCATTTTCTTCTAAAAATATTTATCGTTCTCTATGAGGGTGGAATATCCTTAAGAAATGATAGAGGGATGGAATTTTGGATCTAACACACCAAATACCGATACTTTAGCCACTAATCGAATAAGTAGAGCACGTAAAAATGTCAATCTTACAATCGAGGGTATACATCGACATCACATTCAGACGAGACAATGCATGCAAAGACAGATATGAATTTCGTAAATATCGGAAAGCTACCTCGGCCAAAACAGCTTCAGCATGACGACTATGCATCATCATCAAAACTCTTTTTATACCAGAATCCCTCAATTTTCTAATCGCCTTGCTAAGTGTTTCAGGCTTTTTGAAATTCACTTTTCCAACGACTTGAAAAGGGAAACGCTGTGACAGCTTTCCTTGAGACATGAATTTTATTGCAGTCTCTCCCATCGAATCTAAAGACAGAGCGAATATATAGCCAATGTGAGACAGAGCCTCAAAGAAGTAAGTTACGATGGTGTTTAGAGTGTTTATTGCTGCAGAATATATAGAATATAACAGACCGTCCACGATAGAAAAAAGTCCTTGGATACAACTAAAATGGCCTAAATTGTCACTGTTCAAGGCTGTAAAATAACCTTTACCCCATTGTTGCTCCCAGTTTATTCTAGCTTTTGTTAAAAACCTTGTAAACCTTCACGCTCTAGACATCCCTTAAATTTTTGTATAACCTATTTCCACTCTTCTATCCTTAATTATAATTTCTAACATACGTATATACTCGTCGCAACTTCCTCGACTTTTTTTAAATGGATGTAACACTTTATGACTGGATACTTGGGATAGAACCCAGTCTTTTGTTCAAGTTAAATTTCTGTGGTTTTTGTCATTTTTATTCTAATTTTACGACTAGATTTATAGCATTTTTACGCGTCAAAAAAATTATGTTGTTCCTAAATAAACCTTAAAATTGTTGGTCTTCAGTTTTTGCTGTATTCATCAATTTCCTGTTGGATGGACTTCAACCAACTTTTGCAGTACTAGACTACAGGAGATCTAACCAACAGGCAACTCACTCAATAACCTACCTTCAATAATAACGGCAACGATTCGTGACTGCGACCTTCTTATCATTGCTAATGTTGAGTCGTATAGCTGGGCAGTGTCCGGTCTCATGCTTAGGACATTTTTGCACGACGGGTTGTGTTCATCTGTGAGGGTGATTTGTGGAATCCCAAGAAGATCGCTGAGTACACATGAAAATGGGTCAACAGAGTAGGCCTCAATGATAAATGCAGCTGAGACGAGCTCCTTCTTTGCAAGTATTTCTAGGATAGAAGTGGTAGAATGCTGACGAACTAAAGACCATGTATCATCTTCTCTCATTCAAGAAGTGAAGAAAATGGGTAATCAGTTCTTCGCGTTTCAAATGCAAAGTCTTTCAAACAATCTTTTGTAGTATACAATTAAAAAAAGGACTTTAAAAAAGTACTCATTCTGAAACGTCAATAGTCATGTGCTCGCTTTTCTGATTGGCCTATTTCGATCCGCCATTGGGTATATATATTCCTAGCATAGAGTTTTCGATCTATGTTCTGACGTTTATACTCTGAAAAGTGTCAGACGAAAAGCTTTTGTACTGTGTTTCAAAATGTTTGCTTTTCTCAAAGCCATTCGCAAAGAATTGAAGTCTTCATAGAATTGAAAAATGAGAATTTCTATCACTAATATAAATCAGTATTCAAGAGACCTTGGATTGCCATGAGCGTTTAATCAGGGGTGAAAAATACTTTGTGTCATCGTGAAATAAAGCATTGCTTCCGCGATTTAGCAAAAGAAATATGAATAGTCCGACAACTTGTAACCAAATAAATTTTTAGACACTTAGGCTGAAGCACCGCTTCATAATGTTTTAAGAAACATTAGAAAAATATGAAAATATCAATGAGGGTTGTGCTTGTCTCTATCAAGACAATTCTAACTCTTCCAGTGAATGGCAAAAGCCTCCAAATTGTGACAGGCCCTTAGACAGCCAAACTCGATTTGGGGGCCTTACAAAATACTGTCAGATCAAGCTGCACTTTTAAGATCTTCAAACACAATTTTCGCAAATTATTGGGGGGCATTTTCCCCTGCCCCCAATGTCTCAGGCCGTAAATTGTGTATCTCTTATTAGATGTTAAATGCTCGTTGCCTACCCTAATACACACCTAGAGCCTTCTAAAAAGTTCAATTCTGAGTTACAGATCATTGAAAATGTTATTAGGATCACGATATTACCTTGATCAAAAAGGCTTTCTGAAGGCACTGACACCTTTCCGACGTTTATTCGGATCGTATCGTAGTCACTGTTGCTCTGACGTAGCTCCCATTCTCTGTTGACTAGCTTCTGGCAGGAGATTATAGCTTTGTTTAACTCTGTTATGTCCTCTGCTGGAGTAGTTAGTATTGCTGAGGGGAAAGAAAATACTCTAGATATGAAAATATTATTGCATGCTTCAAGGCGGTTAAGACTTGGGCTGAGATAGATAAATTAAATTTTGATAATGTTTATTAGTTACATTTATTGCAGACAATACAGAAATTGAACAGGCAAGGAAAAAATATGGTAGAAAATTTTTGTGTGCGATTAAAACATCTCAAAATGCTGCAAGTAAGTAAATAGTAGTCCTTAGAACAATGATTTCAATTAATGCTGACAGACAGCTTCAGACCAAATCAGTCTTTCAGGAGCCCCATTATAGCTTCAACTGTTCTTGCATTATTCAATAAAGAAGATATTTTCCTGGATATAAAACAGGCTGATCTTTTACAACAAGTTCTAACTCTTGCAGTTGCAGCTACTCCTGTCAACTAGATATCAGAGCTACTGTGAGAAATATTTGACACCTTCCTTCACTTTATTTTCATATCTTAAATTTTAAAACACGCAAAAAATCCAGACTTTGAAACATTGTTTTGTGTATCAGTGATGTGAGAAGCATTTCAAACTTGGAAGAGCACAGATGTGAAGGGGCTTTACAACTCAGAAAAAGGGTTAATCTGTTTTCTGATAATAGATTCTGATTAGAGAAAAAATGGAACTCTTACCAACTTCAACCCATCTCAAGACTTTGCTTCGTACACCAAAATCAAGTTGTGCCATTCCAACTGATATGGCTGAGATGAGCGTTGCAAATAACAAGCGATTCATTGTTTCGTTGCTCTTTCAGCTAGAAAAATTGAAAGCTCTTATGATGAAATCAAAACAATGTGCAGCGAAAAGAAGAATCAAATATGCAAGGATGACGAGAAGATCAGAAACACATCAGCTATTTTTAGATTGATCATTATCTGTTAACATTTGTTGATATAAATAGTGGTATTCCGTTGAGTCGGACCTTCAATGGGGTAAGGAATTATCCGTCTTGAAGAATATCGGACTCATCTGGGGTACGACTTTTGGCTTGAATTAGTAGAAAGATCCAATTGAAATTGAAAATCAGTCAGACTTATTGAAAGTCCTAGTTATCAGCAGCACGACTTAACAGGATTCAACTGTATGTATACCTAAGGCCCTGATGCTACTTTAGAGTTGTCTTGACCTGACTCTGGATCAATAAGGAATATTTTGAAATCTTCTTGTCAGCTGTAGAATAAGGTCTTACGAAAGATGGCATTTCAAGATAAAAATTTTGAGGCCATTGCAAAAGTTCCTTGTTGCTACGCAAGAATTCTTAACCACTGTTTCTTATCTTTCTCAAAAACGCAAGCTCTACTTTGTGAACTGCATCGTCTCTACAAAAGAATTCAAATTGACAAAGATGATAACAATACTGGTTATGATGATTATGATGTTGTTATGGATGATGATCATGATTGTTTTTATTGTAACTAAGTTGATCATGTTTGTTTGATACGATGATGATGGTTGCGGTTGCGTGGCTTTCTTCAAAGCCAGCATAGCAAATTTAACTCGTCACTTTGTCGATGATACAGGCCTGAGTAAGAATACCGGGAGATTTGTACTATCTTTGTAGCAACTCTGAGTGAATGAACCTTTGAAATAATTTCTTTTTGATGGAATTATAATAAATTAGTAAACAGACTTATTTTACTTATTTCTTTACAGCATAAAGAAATCCTATTTACGCTGGTCGAAGAAATCAATCAATTTGTTGAAAATATTGTAAAAGTGGTTGATTGACTAAACTAATGAAATAAAATATTTCACCAGAATTCATGGTTCTAAAAAATGATGGCTTTTCGATACGACGCTTAAAATGAAGGTTAACGACGTAAAAGCGCTTTTTTGTCTTCATTAACAGAAATATGAGAGGTATCTCACCTTATTTTGCTCCACGATAATTCATCTCTTGTGAGCATCGAGATGGTAACTACAAATGGATGGTTTCTTTTGCCTTCGTGTTCAGGGCAGCGGATGTGATCAAGCTGGTTGCAGCAGTAACGATAATTGTGTGATATTGAAGATTTGCACGAAGATAAACAGAAGAAGATTCAATTCGCCGATCTTTATCATCATATTTCTAACAAGCTTGCTCAAGATAATACAATGGGAAGCCACAAGCGACGAACATGCATATCCAGATGGTCTGAGGATAGAAAGATAATTAGCTTACAAACGGATAAGTTATCGACAGGGAGAACTGGATTCCGAGGTTCAAATTTCTGACAATTATTTACGAAATTTAAGACTTGAGATGTAAATATTGTGATGAATAATTTGTCGTCTTTTCATACAAAAAACTGTTTGACATCTATTTTAAATTACATTACTGTGTATTAAGCTCCCTCATTCCCAAAACTATCATTGTTAGGGAAAACAGAAGATCTGCAGGCTGAATTTAACCCTTTCCTTGTTCATAAACAAATAAATGTAAAATCACTCTTAAAGCTTGACACCTAAATTTGCATATTCCTTTTAGCTTTTTTTACTACGTTTCTTTCACATTAAAATTTGTCCCAAATAAATTTTAGCAAATGAGAAACTGAACCGAGCAGACTTTACTTAGGTAAAGATATGCGTTCATACCGTACTACAATTCGTCTTAATGCCCAATTTTTCTTAACGCCTCATCTAATTAGCGCCCTTTAAAATATCAAAATGCAACAAATCCACGCTAAAATTACTAAGAAAACGAAAATTCTCAAGCCATTTTTCAAGCCCTTTTTCAAGCCATTTTTCAAGCCATTTTTCAAGCCATTTTTCAAGCCATTTTCGGTGGACCCATTGTCTTCAGATTTGAAATCAACTGTAGGAAATTTCCCAGAGGTGAAATATGAAAAACGTCCTCATCCTTACCCACCCTCAAAATAAACATTCGCACAAAGCATTCATAGCAAGTCTGGAAACATCTGTAAAATAGAATGCTAGTTCCATGGAGAGTGGAGATGCTATTTCGACTATTTTCAAGAACAATACGAATTTTACAGAAACCACCGTTTAGGGGTACTCATGGTACCTTCCTTGGGGGTAAAAACAAAGTAAAAATAGACCTATTTTATTAAACTTCAAGGAAAACCATTATTTCGATAGGTATCAAGCAATCGAAGCCACATTAAATATGCTGTTTCAAATCCCACCCTGGCAATACCAGTGCATAGGGCAGTGCATAGATGGACAATGGCGATGAAAGATGAATACTTACCGTAAACCCCTCTGTAGAACAGCAAATCTTTCTGTTTCATACAAGAAACAAACATTATAAGAAATGGTATTTCTTTAATTCATGGAACCACTTTAACAAAAGCATAGGTTAGTCACTATGAGGATCGCAGGGGAGGTACTACAGACAGATTTGGACTGGCTTGATGTATCATAAAGATATGAATCAAAGCGTGGAAATAAACCCAGAAAGCAGATGTTGGTGGCAGGGGTTTTGGAAATATTTATCTCGTGGTAAACCCATATTTGAGCAGGGTAGGAAGAGTTGCGTCGATACTGCTGAGGAACCGCGATAATGTATTCATCAATCGCATATTATATTTTGATTTCAAGAATTTTGCATTGCAAGGTCCCGTCACTTAACTAAATACGATGTAGGGAAATCTTTTTCAAAAAATTTGAAATGCTGCTTATAGGGTATTGGTGTACCGACATTGCAAATATCTTGCAAGGAACACAATTGCTTATATTCAAAAATCATGTTTAGTATAAGCGGAGAAGTCAGACATCTTATTTATGCAATGAAGTCCAGTCTGAACGATAAAATATCGCTGTTATAAGATTCCACCAAATCTGTAATACGATGTTCAAGAGCATATTCATAAATTCATAAAAAATCCATAAACGAATGTATGCAAGGGGGCGGGAAGGAAATAAATAGAGCATTTTTGCAAGTTTGTAGTGCTGGGGGCTAGGGGGTGGGGGTTGTTGGGCTGGGACTGATGCCCATTGTTAATGCCAAAGGTAGAAAATTTCTACTTCTTGAAGATGTTTTTTCAAACACTAACAAAACTAATATTGTTGTTGAAACACATATCAGTTTGTTGGATCAATGTGACTGCAATATACTTGAGAAGTGAAAATCGAAAATTTGAACTGATAGAGGGTTAGCAGATTGGGGCAGTTTTTCACCTGGATTTTACTGTTTATATAATTTTCAGGCATAAGATAGGAACACAGCCAATTATAAAACTCATTTTCTAAGACCTTCAATTTGTGCCAAAAGTCTTGGAACACTGACGTCAATTTCAAAGGTCAAAATCAATCATCCCCCTCTCCCCCACGAAACAATGTTGGTTTACTATGAAACGGGTAAGGATTTTCGGAAGAACTTTCATTTGCGCTTCTTTTATAATATTTCTCTACATTATAAACATTGTTCTAGGGGGGAAGGGGGCGGAAATAATAATTTTTTATCGAAAAAGGAATTAAAGATATAAAATGCAACGCAAATGTGTTTCAAATAATTTTGGCAGGCATTGTAGGAATACTGAGAATATACTGTAACATCAATTTCCTTCATCAAATCACCCCAAGCGTCTCCTAAGAGAAAGAGTCGTTGGTATATCATGTGTTTTAAAAAGGAGTAGACAGGAGAACAGATATCTAAAATATATCAATAAAAAAAGTTCTGAAGTTTACCTGAGATAGTCGCCAGGATCTCTTGCTCTAGTACTGTAATACTCTGGTAAAAAGCCCTAATCCAAGTTTGCCACATTTATCTACATCAAATCAAATTTTCAGCTCTGATTTTGTAAGACGATTACATCCACTTAATGCCAAGGATTTCACAAGCAAAAATTTTGAAAGTAGTCTCATCTACAAGTGGAATAATAAATTGCAAAGATTAGCCATGCTTTGGAAAAAAGTCTTGTTACATTCACTAGCTTTCATATAGAATTCTGTCAGAATAGATAAATCTCTTATTTTGGAGTTATCTACAATAACGTGTTTTCAATTCAAATTTAATGAATTTCACTCCACAATCCACATCTAATCAAGTTGAATCAATAATTCATGCCTATACTTGACATCAACTGAAGTGAAGTTGTTTTAAAAACATTTTGATCGAAAAAACCTTAGACAGACTTAAGGGCAGTGATTGATATGAATTCGTTGCAACTTTTGCTAAGGTTCAGTATATTATTTAGCGATTTCATTGTCGTTTTTAAGTGAAACAAGGAAAAAAGTTTAGCATATGAAAGAATCCTTCATAGAGAAGATGAGCTGCGCGGGCTTTAAATTCAGAAGCCCAGCTTATCAACTCTCTTGACTCAACATGAAGCCCAACTGATTGAGTCATATATGTTTAGGGAAGTGTTGGGTATATTGCGGATTGGGGAGGGGCTGAAAGCTTGTTATTTCGACAGGGTGCTGAACAAAGTGGTTTTACGTGCATCCTGCGAAGCCTTTCGGGACTAACTCCCTAAACTGGCCACTTTTGCAGTTCTTGTATACATGGGCGTAGTAGAGGCTTTGGGGGGGGGGGCTTAGTATTGATCTTGCCCGAATATTGTTGCTTTATTGACCCAAAATTGCCCAAATGGACATTGAAATTTGATAAATTTTGCCTGATTTGGGGGGCTCAAACTCTCCCAGCCCCTATGCCTCCTACGCCTTTGCTAGTGTATGTCGATATAATTATCTGCATATCAAGAAAAATTAGATTGCAAAGATACGATAAAGTATGAAGAAAAAGGTATAGCTGAATACTAATAGTGTAAAATATTGTGGTACAATGGCTGAGCAGAGACACCTCAGAGCAGAGACGCCTTATAGCAATGCTCAAAGGCATTTTCTTTCGTTACTTATCACTTATCGGCGGACACTTTGCTATGGATTAGGGTGACTGCTTGTGTCAATTCCGTGTAAAATATCGTGCGTATATAAATATGTAATGTAACGATATGGACACGTCTTTAAAACCTTTTTCTGTTGTGGACATGGACAAGCCTATATAGAAGAGGTGTAACGTCTTAATACAACATAGGAAATTCAAATATAACATGGATGACAATTTTAGCACCTTTAGTTGTATACAAAGAACCCTGGTTAATGCATAAAGCTCGAAAACAAACGAGTGACATCATTTCAGTAATCAAATCGATCATTTAAAATCACTTCTCATAAACGAGGGACTATACAAATATATTTACCGCCAAATCATTAATATGTACAATATCCAATCAGCGCATTTGCGTGAAAACGACTGCAAAAATCGGTAGCTGTGACGTTCAGAGAAGCATGGGGGGAGGGGAGCATACGGTATATCTGCGACAAAGAGTACAGGTCATCTAGGAGCGAATGAAGTAATAACTACTTGAGTAAGACCCTTCTAAATTACTTGTCTCTATCATGTTTATAGTAAATGGACTGCATTGCAAAATACACTTACACGTCACGCAAAATTGTGTGTTTTTACCCTGTTTGGGTAATGTATTGGCGGTTACATTTAGAAATCTGTACACCAGTCAAAAGCAGTCTGTTAGTATGAAAAAAACATTTTGAGCACCAGCTATTTATGGTAGAAATTCTACTCAAAGATAACGACAAAAATAGAAGCTTTAAAACTTCTGCTCTATATCTCTTTTTTTGGCATAAAACGAAAAGGCCTGAATTAAAAAACTTAAATTGGCGGCTAATTGACCGAAAAAAGAATTAAAAGTATACTGATGACGTCATAAAGACCTTGTCATAAGATTGATAAATTGACGCATTGTAAGGGTGAAATAGAGAATTCATAAAAAATAGGTATTTTTTCTTGAAAGTCAAAAAAGATAGAGCAGATTTCCTCGAATGCTTATTTACAGTTGTTTGCAAATGCTACGTTGTCTTTTACATCAAGATATGGATATAAACAGTTTCAAATAACTTAAGGAAGTTTTGATTTGACGTGTGAATAGTCTGCAGGCTTGTTAACAATCTTGACATTGCTTTTTTTCATATCTGGGGGCGGCCCCATTACCGACAGCTTTGATCTCACGTGGCTATAGTTTTTGGGGTCATTTAAGATTTTTACATTTGAAGTCGGTTTGTCACGTGGACTTGCATCCATTGATTTATCCGCATTAGGTTTTGGAGGTGGATCCGGTATTAGTTTCGATTTTACATGGCCATAATTTTTAGGGTCATTCACTATCTTCACATTGGTGTTGGGTTTTTCGCGAGGACTGGATGCGACAGTACTGTCTGGATTTGGTTTCGAAGGTGGATCCGGTATGAGTTTCGATTTCACGTGGTTGTAATTTTTTGGATCGTTAACAATCTTAACGTTAGTGCTCGGTTTGTCACGAGGGCTTACTTCCACAGAAGGCCCTTGGTTTGGTTTTGAAGGTGGGTCCGAGATGAGCTTGGACTTCACATGGGTGTAATCTTTTGGGTCATTCAAAATCTTAACATTAGTGCTTGGTTTTTCACGAGGGCTTACGTCCACGGATGGCCCTGGACTTGGTTTCGCGGGTGGGTCTGCAATAAGCTTTGATTTTACTTGGCTGTAATCTTTTGGATCATTCAAAATCTTTACATCAGTGTTTGGTTTTTCAAGTTGGCTTGCTTCCATGGATGGCGCTGGACTTGGTTTCGCGGGTGGGTCTGCAATAAGCTTTGATTTTACATGGCTGTAATCTTTTGGATCATTCAAAATCTTTACATCAGTGTTTGGTTTTTCAAGTTGGCTTGCTTCCATGGATGGCGCTGGATTTGGTTTCACAGGGGGCTCTGTGATAAGCTTTGACTTTACTTGGCTGTAATCTTTTGGATCATTTGAAATCTTAACATCAGAAATTGGTTTCTCAAATTGCCTTGAGTCGACAGAAGGTTTTGGATTTGGTTTTGGAGATTGATCTGAAGTCAGATTGGATTTCACATGGCTGTAATCTTTCGGGTCGTTCACAATCTTTACATCTGATTTCATTTTCTCAGGTTCACTAACAGCTGGCCCGGATTCAGTCTTTAAATCGAGCGTCAGTTTTACGTTGAATCCTTGACTTTGGATTCCCTCTGAGGCAGGTTCTTTTGCGGCACCATCGAAAACACTCTCACTTGGTTTTGTGCTTTTGTTGGTACTTTTGTCACTTGGGGTAGTCAACTGACCTGACGGAAATGTCACATTGATTTCGTTTGGGCCTTCAGATATGCCTGGACTTTTGCTATTGATCTGCGTGTCTTTAGGTTTATCTACTTTATTCAAAGATCCAACAGATTGTGTTGAGGGATTGCGCTGCTTTTTGCCATAATCAACTGGAGCGTTCAAAACACGCACGCTACCATTATCATTTGACGAAGAGCAGTTTCGAGATGGGTCGTTCGAAAGCATTGGCCTGATTTTCGATCTTATATTGCTGTAGTCGATTCTTTCGTTGAAGATCTTGAAATTCGGCGTCCGTTTCTGATACGCACCTTGATTGCTGCTTGACTGTGTATCAAGCGAAGAAGAGTTAGAAAGGTTACCTGACGAGTTGTTTGTGGATGGACTCACTTTACTAGTTTTCGGTGGAGATTTGACTGGGGTTGTACCTTTGCTGGCCGCAGCATCGTGAGAAATCATGCCAGCCGAACGAAGTTTAGAGGGAATTTGCGACCAATCAAGTTTCTGTCCGAAAATTTTCGACTTGCCCTTATTCCCGTCGTAAATACCCCGCGGTGTTTCCTCAGTGTCAAGTTCATTAAGAAGCTTATCCAGGTCATCTTCAGAAGGCTTCTTTTGGCTTCCTTGCTTTTCATCTTTCTCAAGATCCTTTTTCATGGCCTCCTTCTCTTTAGATCCATCAATATCGATCGTCTCAAATTCACTCTTTTTACCCGTGCCATACTTGAGTCGGTCTATTTCTGCATCTCGCTAAAATCAAAGCCAAACAGATCTTGAAAGTTAAAAGATCAAACAAAGTATGAGCGAAAGATATCAAAACCCAAGTAGCTCAATATCATACCATATATGGGAAAATCTGTTCATAAATGACATTAAACTAAATTAAACATTCTTGGGCGATACAAATTGCTTTTTATTCTATGAAGACAAATTTGGTTGAGAAACAGAAACCATTTGAGAAGGCAATAAAACTGCAGATTAACGGACTCTCACCTCTGCAAGTATCTTATTCAATTTCGCAATTTCTTCTTTGTTTCCCGAATCATCTGCATTCACATAAAGTACAGAATAACCACCATCCTTGTCATTAGCACCTGGCTGATTACTTTTGCCGGTCCCTTTTCCGGGACCAGGGGCGGTTCCGGTTTTATAGTTGCTGTCTGTTTTACTTTTGACATGCGAAAAGTCCAGCTTGTTGCTGAATATCTTGAGTTTTCGCTTCTTCTTTCTTTTCCCGCCTTTTCCTTTGTCATCCCCATTGCTGTTGTCATCAGTATCAGTATCATCATCACAAGTGTCCGATAATAGAATAACGGGTTCAGTAGTCTGGGTCCAAATTGGACGGACTTCCGGGAAATCTGTTCGTTTCAGTTGCTCTATGTATTTGTTTTTCTAAGAAGGAAACGGAAGATATAAAAACAATTGCTTCGAAAGTCTCGCAATCGTTTATGATCGGCAATCTCCGACCCAGCAGCTGAATGTTAAATGTTATGGCTGCTTAGAGAAAAACGGCTAATTCCTAGAGAAGAAAATTGACAGTACTGTTTTTAAAACTGCCCCGGATCTCAAAAGTCGTCTCTGCTCTTGACTAAAGCCCTGGCAAAACAACCAAACATCTCACTAAACATTTCACTCAACTTTTGTTTAGTGAAAAGTTTAGTGGAGAGTTATTCGTTTCGCCACCCTGTTTAGTGTTGTTTAGTCGTGTCGAGTGTTGTTGAGCAAAGTTTGATTCTGATAAAAAATGTTTAGCATTGTTTAGTGTTGTTTAGCGAATGTTTAGTCGTTTTGCCACCAATTAAGCATTTGTTGTGCTAGCGCAGGCGCCATAACTGTGGGAATTCAAAGGTTTTCCAGGGTTTTTCTCGGTTTTCCTGTCTCTACATGATCCAAGATCTCTAGAATGCCTTCGTGAGACATTTGCTTCATCTTCTTTTACGCTACTGTGTCTTTTTTTAACTTTGTCATCGATGTACTGAAAAGTATTTTCTTTCCCTTTCTTTAATCAAATTCTTATTTTTACCCACTGCTAGTACTTGAAGTATTTCATGCTAACAAACAACTAAACAAACGGAAAGAAAGATTCCCTACAACCCCACAGTGTCCTATGCAAGATTCCCTACAACCCTACACAGCTCGCAGTTCAAAAAAGGTTGAGTGAAGCTTAGTGAAAAGTTTAGTCATGTTTTGCCACCCTCGCTAAACTTTGCTCAACCTCACTAAACAGAGGTTGACTAAAATGTTTAGTCGCTTTGCCAAGGCTTAAAGCCTGGTTTCCATATAACATTTATGAGTCGGCGATACGTCGGCGATGATTCTCTTAAGCCTGGTTTCCACGTAACTCTTACGTGTCGTCGACGTATCGGCAATACTCTTAACCCAGGCCTTCTAGGGAGCCTTTTGACAACAAACCGTGCCGAACGGGTGGGCATGGTGATTGATAATGGTTTTGATTGGCTAGTGTGAGTCATGTGTTCACACGGAGTTGCGATGAATGATTCCATTAAAATTTTCAGTCATCGCTGACGTCATCGACAGAAAAAAGTTGAACTAGATTTAACTTTTGCAGGGCATCGCCGACACGTCGGTGACAACCTTGTGGGAGTGTTTCGATTAAACTTTTACTCGTAAGCATAAAAGGTATATGAACCAGGCTTAAGAAAAAACACTTTTAGTTGATATATGATCAATAACGAATCTAGTGAGAGTATAAAAGATCCCTAAAATCGGGAGTTGTGATACATATAAATCGGGAGGGGAAACATATAAGTTTCCAATAGTATAACTTTAAAAGATTCAGGTAAAATGAGAGGAATGTTATGGTTCTAAACATTTGGGCGATATGCTATAGGGAACTAATATCTTTTTCACTCCTAATTGTCCCTATTGTTATTGATATATTATAAGAGTTCCAAATATGAAGCCGTTAAAAATAGGACACATAGCAGCATTACTTGGAGGTGTTTTGGAATCATAGGGTAAAAATATATTGCATACCATTTCTAGCTCGCGCTGCAGTCTTGCGAGCTCAGCACTTTTATCATCACCAATGCCTTTGACGATAAACTTCTGCTCTCCCGCCTTTTCTGTGCCATTCCTCTTGCTGGAAGGTCCACAGCAACAATTCCTGCAGCTCGAGCCACAGCATGCGAACAACATAGAACAACACGCAAGCAACGGCGCACAACAGGCAAGGAACGGTGCGCAACATACCGCCAAACACAGGTAACACTTCGGGCAATTTCCCTTGCAACATCGCGTACAACAACCACACATTGAGCCAAAGCAATTGCATTTAGACAAGCACCTTGAAAAACAGTTTGAATCGTCTTCTTCTTCTGTTGCACTCATGACCATAACCCGATTTCTTGTGCAAGAGATGACAAGCAAAATCTACAAGAGGAGAGTTGCGCATATCACTGTTGCATCGAGTCCCACCTTTACTGTATACCCAGAAAACACTATACTTTCATCTCGTTGAAAACTTATCAATACTATTAAATCTGCATGGAATGATGCATTATCAATAATTCCAGTCTGGAAAGCTTTTCTCAACTGTCTCATTTTCTGTTGCATCACAAAAATACCGTTGACGCGTATCAGTGTAGACAGGACCTGAATAGCAGTCAATTCTGATTTAGAATGGAACGAAAATAGGAATTCTGCTACTGGTGGAATAGCAGCTTTAAAGGTATTTTCGCGTCTGATTTCATATCCTAACACTTGCATTTCATATATCACACGAGACTTTAAACAGATCAAGCAAGATCCGAATAGTGAAAAACCAGAGTCCGCCTTTCCCTCATTGTCCATTTTAAGTTTTGTAAATGCTTTCGTTTTTCGTTCCAGGAGGAAGCTTTATGGAAAAACGACTTATAACGAACGACAAAATCGGCTGCTAACTATTAAAGTTTTGAACGAAAATCTTGTGTTTTTGCCTGTTTATGATTGCCATTTGAATAAATTCCTGAAGTTTGAAAATAAATGAAAAGCGTGGAAACGAGGAAAATTTTTTTGGCTTCTTATCCCCCCTTCCCAAAAACATACAAAAAACGTATTTACTTCTGCTAAAGACAAATTCAGATGATACCAAGCCTTCCAATATGGCACAAATGAATTTATCCGCTGTCAGTCGTTTCTAATATTGACAATGAAAGCCTTACCTTGTGCAAGAAGAGAATGATCAGCACAGCGGTGACGCAGACTATTATAATGAACCCAACGAGTCCGAAGAAGACGTCTGGAAGTAGCCTTGTTGTCATAGCAATAATAAAGCCAATCACAGTACAGGCAGCTATGACATATGCACACGTGCCACATCTCTGGGTGTCGTTTATCGTCGGTATGAAGACTTGGCGGGTCTGGTACGCCCAGTAAACAGCGATAATGACAAGGGCAGCCTTCCAAATGCACATGATAAAATACCAAATTATATCATTGCTGCACTTGCATTGTTCCACGGCAGTTATTTTGACGGTGAAAGGGTTGTCCGGCCAAATCTAAAAATTGATGTTCGGCTTACAAAACATCAATTCAATGAACTGAGTCATAATGAAGACTCTTGCAAAGTTCTTAGCACAAATTGTTCAGTTTAGATTTATAAACAAGATCCTAATATTTCTTGTAAGTGTTTCGAAGCCAAGTTTAATTGTCGTTGCATCAAAACAAACAAAACTTACGTCAACATCACAGGGATAATTCACTTCATTCTTGATATACTCGATGACACGCTTGAGTGGATCGATGTAATGCCAACAAAGAAGCAGGATTAGGTTCACCACAAAGATTACGAAAATAATCGCAAACATTATTTTCCTTCTTCTTCGCTAAAAAGAAAACAAGTAAAAAAAAATTAGCTCCACGATTGCACAATTCATAGTTGTTGAAGTCAAATGAGAACAAAAATCACTCTGTGTAATAATTTAGTTATAAAGAATGGCCTAACGTAAATGTCATAAAAAACTTTTTCGATATCAAGAATTCGGAGCACATTATCTGAAAGATTACCATGAAAGACCACTAGATGTAAGAAATCAATTGCATCTGTTTCAAATTGGCAGTGGACCCATGAGCACAGGTGTTTTACCTGTCAAACCTCTTACATTTTATCTGGTCAAAGTATAGAAACTGTAAACATATACTTTCTTTGCCACACTAACTCTCTCTAAGGCATTCGGTCTAAAAGCTTCCTTATTCGTTTCTCTATTTTTCATCGCCTTTTTGTCACAATTAAGAAAAACATTCCTTAGGGGATAACTGAGAAGGTTACAACCCCTCCTCTTCCCCCTTGATATAAAGATTTTAGTCTGATGATACTATCAAAAAAGTAACAAACTATCGAATGCCTTGATTCAATCCTCTTAAATTATGCACCTTGTTGCCATTGTTGAAATATATAATGTTGTAGTCATTTATGACTAAAGCCCTAGCCCAAAAGAAAGAAGTTTGCACTCGGGAACAGGGAACCTTCAGTTATTTATTTCTAAAAACGCGTTGAAATAGCATTTAATGCACCACCGATTGCGTTTTTCATCAGATTTCCCTGAACTCGAAGCTAAAACATCACTTGCAGAAAACTACAAAATATTACCTTCAAACCATAAAATACACGGAGATGTCATGATAAAAGCTGAAAAATACCTTTTCTAGTAGAAGCCTGCGTGACAGTACATCTTGAGCAATCCAAAGTTTAGCAATCAGTCCACCAACTACTAATACGAAACCAATAGAGAATACCCACAGTCTTGCCTACAGGGAAAAATAGGACAATAAGATAGTCAACTGACATAAAAAAGACTTAAAATTTGCTTTTACCATAATAATTCGATCAAGCTCCCTTCGCAAATAAGCCTTCATTTGTAGCATGCTTTCAATACCCCCGTTCTCTGTCGAAAAAGCCCTCTCTCTATTTTTCCTTCGCATAGCCCTTTCAAATTGTCTGGGCTTCCAATGCAGAGAAAACTGTGGGTGAAAATTACTGAGGCGTGATTTATTAATGACCGTTAATGACGGTATCATTTTTTCACTGAGAAAAATCAATAATTTCCAATTTTGGTTTACGAGGATTTGATATCATCTTTGTCACATTGTCTTTTAGATCAGATTGTCAGAATTCTTTTACAGTTCTCGAAAGATGGATCCAGTTGGCGCGCCACGAGCGTGCAACTTAGCTACTGCTCATTGAGAAAGACAACTAAAAGAGAAACCTGCTTTGAAAAATATTTCCAAAATATTTAGAAAATTGTTCAAATTTGCTATCGTTTTCTTACCCTGCAAACTTCATCCACTGTCAGTTTTGGAGAAATGACGTTATCAACTCCAAACAAGAACACAGAGATGTAGACAAGGATACAGCCAATTATGATGATGATGTTAAGCAAGTAGAATGAATATCGAATTTCTCTACAAAAGAATCGTTGGGCATCGGTAATAATGTTTACAAGCTGATTAGATGATTTGATATTAAAAGATCTTACAAGTGCTGAAACCTAACAGAGATCTACTAACGTAACTAAAAAGAATGTTGCTGATATTGTACTGTACATGACTGTTGATGTTCTCTTTGAAGGACGTATAAATGATGTGGAAAAGGCAGAATTAACAAACAAACAACAATTTCAATGATGGTTAGCAAGTAGTCTTGTTACTGTTGATATGAAACATTTTATGATGCAACAACTTAAACGAAACACAAGCTACCTAATGTGAAAGGAAACACACTGGATCTGACATAAGGAAATATATTAATATAATAATAATACGATATTTATACAGGTCACCAGATTCAGCTTAATAAAGCTGCTATCAGTCTGGGACCTGTTAAAAGCTTAAATACATGATCTATGAGTTAAAATGTTCACTTAGCCTAATTGTAAAACGTAGTAATGAGTTTTCAGTGCTCTTGAGTAATGCGTTTTCAGTGAGTGAAATAGAAATGCTTCAGTAAGATAAACAATGAAAATAGAATTGGTACCATACAGCTTGGTGTGTGCAAAAACCAAACTTTGCAATAGAAAATACATTGATACCAATACAGCAAAAATTATATAAAGAACTCAAAATCTAGTGTTTCTATACTTACCTTTTGCTATTTATCAGAAAGGTGCAATGAATAACCATACTCGAAAAACTTACTTGTGTTTGCGTCTCCATATGAGAACTACCAAGCAAAATATGGCGAATAGTATCCCAAAGGCTGCAAAGATGCAATAAGCAATATAAAGTCCTTTTGATATGTATCTCCAGTTCAGCGAGCTACTGATTTCTCTGTATGGTTGATGGTTTCCTAGAAAAAAGACAAAATTTTAATAGCTTTGCTTTCCAATATCTCTTGATACGGTATCATTCACGTATTGAGATTATTCCGAATACTAGATCAATAGCAGTTTTACCTAAAACACGGCCTTCAAGATATAATCAAATTTGAAAGCAATTTGCCGTTCCTTCCCAATACAATGTTTTATTACTTAATTAAGCAAAAGTCCCAAGCTTTTGTCAAGGCGTTGAGAATCATATTTTACAGAAATAATGGCAGTTAGGCAAAAATAAAAACGATTTTCTGTTTAAATAGTGATTATTTTGTTTAATTACTTTCACCATAGTTTATAATTTAGTTACAACATCAGTTATTGGAAAACAATGACAGAAGTAATACACGAGGATTGAGAGTGTGTGACTGTTAGTACAACTGCAAAAAGACAAGAGTGATTTACAAGAGTTTAAGTCATCCGACGACAATATAATACATCTACTTCATGACAATTACTTCATACAATAAATCCTTGCTCAGTACAATGAAGCATACATACCTAAGCATACATAAGTACGCCGTTTACAATTATAAAAAGCTACAATATGAAAATTATCCTTTATTGGTTTTGGTAAGTATAGGGAATGTGGTAAACTTGTTTTCTGAGCAAGAAGCTTGACGAGAAAGCATTACCAGCCTCTTTCTCGCAGTTTTCAAACTCTCAAATATTGTCACGGGCCAAAAACAATTGACACCAGTTTCTGTTGGACGATATGGGACGAGATCAAAATAAAGGGGTCCGGCCAACAGCCTTACCATGCGGCTGAGCACTTTTGCCATTTGCGATTTGGCCATTTAGTGCACTCAGATTGGAAAACACAGCTAATTTGAGACTCCGATGTTTTGAACTAAGGTGATATCGACCATTGAGCTATCCATTCGGAACTCTAGCTTGAAGAAACATATCTCATTTTGAGACATTTGCATTATTGCTGACTAAATTTTTGCCATTGTATTTAACTAACCGAGAAAATGTCCTCTATCTGTTAACATTCACAGGGGTGTTAAAAGCAACTAACCTGGCCACTGAACATGTGGCATCTCCAATTTTGGTGTTCTCTTGACATCATACCAACCAACAGTTTTGTCACCCCCGCCTGCAATACCAAATCTTCAATAATTAGTGATTTTCAAATACAGCAGAGGTTGATAAAGAACAGCCATTTCGTACATTCTTCATAAATCATATCTATATTACAAATATCATCTTTCTAAAATCAACGTAGAAATCAATTAAACTTTTTTTCACTAGGAGTGCATATGCAACGCATATGGTTGGATTAATATACCGAAAAACAAGCAAGCATGGAAATGAAAATTCCATGTGCAACATAGTAAATTGTTAAGTGTATATTCAATTCGGCACAACTTTATAAAAAATGTAATGACACTATATGTGATTTATAGGGAAGTATGAGATATAGCAAAACTAAAATAATCTGACTCAATAAAGAAAATAAAACAAGTACATAAATGCCATGCTTTTAATTACAAACTATATCTGACATGTTATCCCAGTTTGGTCATATAACATGTTAACTTTTGACATGTTAACTTTTCACACAGCATTGAGATAGTGTAAAAATTACGTACCAAAAAGAATTTGTACGATTTTGATCTTGAAGTAGCGGTTTCCATCGTCACCAAAACTGACATTGTTCTAAAAGAATGGAAGAAAGGAGGGTAACTAAGTTTTGAAAACTTATATGAAAACGAAAGATATTTCGAAAACGTACGAAGGACGCAGAAAAGTATGAAAACGCAATGATTGCTTTACCAGTTTAGCAGTGAAATTTTTAAATGAACACAAGGCTTAAATCAGTATGGAAAGAGCTTTGGTCCTTGCCGATAGCAATTACCTGTGAAGCATTTATCGATACAGAAAAAAGTAATGAATCAATTAACAAATAGTACATGCCACTTTATAACGAGTGCATTTCCAATTGTGAACACTGCAAAAACATTATAGATCAATAAAATCTAGAAACATAGGTACTTGAATAAACTTACAGATGCGCCACATTTGTCATATGTCAAAATTTCACTTCGAAACTTCTCGCCATAGTCACGACTACCATAAGCGTAGTTTAAGTAAAATCTACTGGAATTGCTCTTGTCCGGATCAACGTTATGCAACACACTTGCAATAGCATTAACTGCATCGTATGTGTATTTAGCTGCTTCTAGCTGATCTGAAGACGCCACCGGGTTGGTACTTGTGTTGAAGAATGTCTCGTTTAGTCTTATGGTATAGTTGGCAACAAAGTGATGCTGCAATCAGAGCAAAAATAGAAGTCAGAAAAGCCTTTCTATAGGTTTCCCACTATCCTAGTCGGTTGAAATTAAATCATTTGGCATTCATCTGTAACAAAAACATTGACCTAGTGCCTTTTGTCATGTAGCATGGGTGATCTTGCCAATTGAGTTTCGATTTATCTGCCCAACCTTAAACGAAAAAATCTTCATGTCCAAGACTGCTATAATACTAGGAGTTAGGATAAAGTGTTAGGGAGGAACTGACTTTCCCAGTAGCCAAATAGAAGCAAAAATAGTGGACAATACACACAAATTTAACAGAAACAGAACTGCTTTGTTTTAGGACTTGAAGCAAAAACTTTCTCATTAAGATTGTATAGAAAGTAAAAAATTCGTATTTTTTAACCATTTACCTAACAAAGCATCCCCTATCGAGGTTGCCCTGCCTCTACTTTTTGTCTACACAAGAGTGGTCACATCGAATTACATGAAAAAGAATTTGTTAAAGAACAGTTTTGCTGAATGTATTTAAAAAAGTGCCTAAAGGTCTACACTGGGCAGTCACTTTCTGTTTCACTGAGGCCATTGTATACTTATATTTTTAATGAATGAATGTATAGTTCATGACAAGAAATCAGCTAAAGTTTCCGTGTTGTTTGGAAGTGATGCGTCCCTGCTCTGGGAATCTATACACATATTATTGCCATTTTGTCTGCTTATTGCTCTATTGAGTACATGGAAAGCGATGCGTTAAAACAGGGAATCAAACTACATATGTCCATAGCACATACGAACATACAAATAATCCTTTCTCACTGATGCCAGGGAGGTAATGATTGTCAGAGACACAGAGTTTTGATGGAGAACTTAAGTGGCAAACCTATCAATAAATGAGTAACAAGTTTTTAAGCAGGTGTATAGTTTCAGACCACATAGGCAGCATTGATACAATGTAAGTGATTCATTTCCTATAAAATCAATGCTTATTAGCCATGACTGGGGATCTTCATGAGACTTTGGATTGTGACACATTGATATGAAGGTTCATTTGGAACATGAAAGGGGCTAATGTTCTAACCTGGCAAGTAATTGGTTCATAGTTGAAAAAGAACTGGTATCTGGCAGCACATCTCACTTGATCCAGAGTGCACCCATCAATTCCCCTTAAGCTTGTATAGCCAATAAAGAGGTAGACATAAAGAGGGCCATACATCTTCAGCTTGTAGGCCTGAAAAAGCAAAAAATGAAAGTCCAAAAAGCGGTGATATTATCATCCTGAGATCCATATTCTTCTAAGGGCATCCACATTGTTTGAAACAGTAATATGTTAGAAAAGCAAATTGTTCATTGTCTTATTGCTCTATGTCTATAGCTCTCTAATGAATTGAAGACTTGTGAGTATTTGTTGGCTTCTGGAATTTTGCTGTACCTTAAAGCTGCTTCTGTTTTATACATATTCATGCCCAAATCAGAAACCTCAAAGAAGGATAAGACCGTTGTTGTAGGGAGGTTTCCAAGTGTGTGGAGTGCTGATACCTTTGCAAAAAAGCAAAAAGCATCAATTTTTAATAAAAGCCCCATTGTTCTTTTTGTAGCAATGACAGTGGCATTCCCTAACCATTTTTGGAAAGGAGAAAATCACAACAAAAAGGAAATCAAGACAGAACATGGGGCTTTACGACACTTCTTAGTGTAAGCAAGTTACTTCAATGGTCAGATTAATTCTATGTGTGTCAATCTGCAGCAATGGGAAGCATAAAATGTTTAAAGACATGAAATGAATAAAAATTCACTCTGGTCATGGCAAGAGATAAATTAAAGCAAAGATGAAAGGAAGCTGTACTCACAGCACAGAGGACTCTGCTGGCTGCATCTCCAGAGAAAGAGCCAAGAACAACATGAATGTCTCTCTCCTTTGAAGTAAAACAGGACAAAAATTAGCAAAATATTAGACTTGATGCCAAAAAGTCATTAGGAGGAAAACAATGGGGTGCTTATAAGGCATTTGGAGAAGAAAGGAGCTAAGGTGAATGTTAAGGCCCAGGACCGAAGGGGCTCTAGTAATTTGGGCAACCAAAGAATTCATCTACATCACATTAGTTAACATTTATCACACAATTTATGTACTGGACAGAGCTTGCTCTAAGTTCCCTTCTTAAATATTAGCCCTTAAATAGTCTTCACTTTAGGCCATTAAGATCTACATATATATGTGTATAAATTATCAAATATTGTGTCTGTTATGCTGTGCTACTTTTCTAAATGCACTTTAATACCTTCAAATGTTTCATAGTGGTCCATGGATCTGTGACAAAATCCTCCTCAGTGCTAATTGAGATTTTTGCTTCTTGCATTTGTGTTCTCAAGTTGGCATTTAACTGTCAAAATAAAAAAGAACCCAATCAAATTATTTTCCAGGTCACTAATGCTTTCTTTAATAGGAAAAAACATTGCAAACTTTTCTTAAATAGGTGGCAATGCAATCTCAACATAAACCTAAAAGCACTTTAACAGGAGGGTGGTTTTAAAGGCTTAAAGAAAAATATCTCTGAAATGGATTCAAAACATAACCAATATTATAATTTTGCCAATTTATTTTATTCACCTTTTTGTAATAATCATCATTGCTATAGATCAATCCAATTTTTCCCCAGGAATACTTTTTGAGCATTTCAACTCTTGCTGCATTGTACAACAAGTCCAGAAATGGTTTTGTACGAAAGAAGTATCTGTAAAAAGACTCATGGTTTGTCGACAGGTCAATTGCACTTGTTCCATAAGATATCTATGGGATAAAAATAAATAACTTCAAAGCAACTTATGAGATTGTTCTTTTAATAAATGCAAAATTCTTTAAGTAGGATTTCCCAAATTTTCTGTACTGAAAATACACAGATTGGCATAGGATTATATTAATTATTTGAATTTTACCTAACTAATATGGATGTTACTCACAGAAACTACCACAATATCCCCAAAAACATGAGGTTTTTAGAAAAATGAAACTGAATAATATTTTAAATATATGTGTGAATAATAAAAAATTTAGGCTTGTGTATTCATACGTTATTTGAAGGTCGATAAGCTTAAAAACCAATCATGAAAGATACTTCCACAAATTTCAACAGTAATGGTGGCATATATATAGTGTACTAGCTAGAAATATAGAATCTTAACAAGAAAAACAAAATAATGCCAAAGTAGTACTACATCAACATTCAGAATTTGTATAGGCCATATTTTTAAACTTCCACCGTAATTAAATGATGGATTTTGCTGTTTATCAAATCAAGTTATTTACAAAACACACAAAATAAAACAGTTTTCAGTAAACTACCTGCAAAATTTTATATCTTGGTAGGCTAGAAATGGCAGCCACAGTTTTTGCCAAGTCATCATCATCAGGACCAATGATTGCAATCTTCTTTGGGCTTTGAGCAAGATAATCAAGCAAAACTGCAGAGCCTGTGCTTATCTCATGCTAGGAAATGATTGGAGATGTGTTTAAATTCTAAGAATTCTATGATTATAACTTTTTCTATGAGCACAAAAACGAACTGCACAAATACTTTTTGTTTTCTTAATGAAATTTGCCTGTGAAACCACACGGATTTTCCATCATTTGACTTCCGTTTACAAATTAAAAAGGACTCTGAAGCAAGGGTATAATTTGATGAGCATTTTAATGATGAAAGCTTTTCTTTGAAAAGAGACTTCTAACCTTGAAATTATTTGCCTTGAATTTTCTAGGTTAATTTTCTACAGAGAACCCCGAGTGTTATATTCTACAACTGACAGAAGGGGTTCTCTTGGATCCCTGAAAATATCAGAAAATCAATCTTTGTTTTAAACACTGCAAACTTACAAATATCAATCAACCAATTTTTACGCATAATTTAGAAGCAATACGAAAAAATAAAAGTACACGAAAAAACTCACTGTGGCAGTCTTGTAGATAAAAGGATTCCCGCGGAACACCGTTTTTAACGGGAGGCTAGAGTCACAACGAGGCCAGGGAGGGTGTAAGCAGTGCTATTGCTAGCTTTTTCGCTCTAAGGAGGTGTTCAGGCTTCATTTGCCAACAAAGTGAGTGAGACAGCCTTAATTTGCTGACAAATTTGAATATTCACCGAAAAAGCACTCACACATCGCTAAAAATCCTCAATTTTGAGAAAAAACGTTGTTCAACATTGCATTTTGAAGAAGCTCAGCCTCAGCTTGTTTTGAGGCTCGTGTTCTTATAAAATTGTTCTTATAAAAAAAGAGTGTACTTGGGTATGTAATCTTCACATAGCTTCCTTGGCTGTTTGTAATCTAACGGAAATGGATTGCAGCCAGTTCCTTATTCCAATTTTCTTTGGCTGGGCTGGTGGTAAATTTTTATATACAGGCAATCCCAGGTCAGTCTTTAAAGAAGACGTCTGTAGCTTGTAAGGAGTCATCCTCAGAAACATGACATTTTTGTTCCAAAAGCAATAATCTATTTTACAGGACGAATTTATAAATGTTATGGGGGAGTGCAACACCCCCAATTTTTCTGTGTTGCTCGATACATTTTGCTTACATTCGGTAAAGAACGGTTTTTGGTAGTTAAAAGCATTTGTCACAGGTAAAAGTGGCCACTTGGCCCCCAGCGTTTGCCCAATCAATTTGCGCACAGAGAAAAACATGCGAAGAGTTTCCGCCTTTCTGCGAATCGGCGAAATCCGAGAGCAGCGCACAATGGTTTCACGTGAGCAGTTTCCACTTTCTATCAAACGCGGGTGCTCTGGCTCTGATCAATTTGGACTAAATCATTTTGGATTCGCTGTACTTATGCATGTCAACAGAAAAAAACTGATGCAAACAATTTTCATTATTTGTCTCCCTATCTCCTTCATCTTAAATTTAAAAATGGCTTTGTAATAATGAGCGTTTCCATCATTTTTCATTCACCTGAAGGGTCTTGCACCGAACTCTAATCAGTATCTATTATCTCCTCCCTCCCCCAGTTCATGCTGCTTAATTTCGTTCCTGGATGTCAATGAGGCTGAAGGGTCAATTTTATCTCTAGTTATCTTGTGAAGAAGGGTCCTGTGTCATTGCATCTAATGTCTTAAAAAAGGTGAGCATGCTTGGAGCTAGATCTCCAAAATTGATAAGAAAAAATAGCGAGGAGATCTTTGAAAGTAACAAAATGGAAGATACTTTTAAAAATGATTTCTTGATTAAATTTTGAACTAGTCTTTTTGGGTAATTAGCTCGACTTACATTAGTAGAATTTTGTCTCAGCATTACGACTTCGTAGCCAGGAAGAACAGCGTCATTTTTGTTAATTTCTTCAATTGCCATGTCCGCAGCCACCAGAAGCTTCTTCCCCAATTCTTCCGCAGACTGAAACATACCAGCAATGTATAGTTTTGGTTTTGGTAGGTTCCAGCATTTGTAATCAAAATCTGTAGCATTGACATCTTTAGTGTAATATCCGTTTGAATTATTGAACCCCACATAATCATACCTGGTCTCGTTGCAATAGCATTCATTATAATACCCAAATTTTACATCTGTATAAAAACAGGCATCTCCTCTGTAAATTGGAGTAGGAGTTGGTAAAACTGTAGCGACTGACGATGATGTGTTTGGCGAAATACTGAAGTTCATAGAAGTAACACTTGCACTAGGGCTTGGGTTTATAGAAGACGTTGATGCTGGAGCGTAGGAGCTGACTTCAAATGAACTTGTGGATGAATTCTCTGATGCTATTGTTGCAGATACAAGTATTGGCGAGAAACTAGATGACGGCTCTATAATGTAAATCTTCTTGCAACAGCAAAATGCAAAATTATCGATGCTTCCTTTAGGACAATATCCAATAGATTCTTGCGTGAAAAATACAACCAAAAGGAAACCAAAAAGGACAGGACTTCGTTTGGTGTACTGCATTTTTCACGTTCTCTGGAAAGAAGGATAAGATTTGAGGATATGATGCCCCATAACATTAATCTTCATTAATGGCATAATATAAATTTAAATCCAAAATCGCCATGATAACTAATATTCGACTAGATTAAAACCTGACATTTGAACGTAAGGATCCAAAAAGGAATTTTTGCATCTAGATCAGAATCGAAGGGATCGTATGATAAGATTTCAAACACGTTCTGCAAGAGAACACGAACTGGTGTGATGTACCTCTTCCGTAGCTAACAGACAAATTTCCTTAGCTAATATATATATATATAATTATCATAGATTTGAAGAAAATAAGACTACATGATTTATCTCTACAAGCCTGTTTCGTGAGTAACTCACTCTTCAGGAGATATATATATATATATACTGGGAATATATATTTCCTAGCTTAGAATTTTCTGCTACTATTCTGAATTTTTGTACTCAGTAGAGTGTAATTCCAAAAATTTTCATGCGGTTTAAAGTAATTGCTTTTTCAAGGCAATTTTTAACTCTGTGCCGACAAAGGTTGCTTGAATTTAAACATTCTTTTAAAATTTCTGAATGTTGTAAAGTAGGGTTTCGCTTAAAGGGTGATTGCCTAGTGTTTGCACAGAGTGCAGACCTTGGCATCTTTGCCTTTACTGATGGTGTGGTGTCCTTGAATAACTTGCAACTTCAGATGTCATTTTTTAGCCTCTATATTTGTGCCTTAAAATCATTTTTGGAACTGTATTGGATGCTTTAACCTACAGGTTTGCCATGGTCACTTACAAAGATAAGCCTTTATTCATGAATCTTGTCATGCTGTCAGAATTCACCAACATTTCAGATATAACGCAATTTCAGATCGACGTTTTTCGGAGGTTGCTATTTTATATGAAAGTAAGAAAATCGAGTAGCCGGTGATACTCTCCGTGAATATAAATTTTGAATTAGTACCTTGAATAACTGTACCACAAAGCAAGTGTATGTTTACATAATAAACAATATTTGCGATCTTTAAATATAATTAGTGACTCACAGCTTAATTTAAGTTTGGACATGCTGAATTTCAACTTTATTGAGTAATTGCAGGAAACTCCCTCCATTCCTTCCCTCCTTCCTTCTCCGCTATCTTCACAGGCAACGGCCCTGTTCATTCATGGACAGAATTATATATATGTATAATGACAATGCCGTGATAGCATAAGAGGAAAGAAGTGATTATCACCCTAAACCCCCATTAGCCTGGCCAAACCACTCCTATTATTCAAAAACTACTTCCACACAATATGCTTCCTAACAACAGCATGAAAAATTCGTTTGCAAAGCTCGCAGAAAAGTTTTACAAAAATTGACCATAAATATATTAATCTTGATAGTATTGGCTTTGTGTCAACAGAGCACATTGCAAAAACCCCTTGTTTTTCTGCAGTGCATTAACATTTATACAACGAGTCTAGCTTGTAAACAAGTATAGTGAATTGATTTTGCCCGAAAAAGATTCCTTTGTCCGCTCTTTTAATTAAAACAAGCAAACTTGATCGAAAGAGCCACATGTTATATGCACTAGAGTGCAAATAATTAATCAAACAGATGTTAGCTGCATCTTGAAGGTTAGTTTAAAGGTGAAATAAATAAATTGAGAAAATATTTATCTGTTCCTGTCAAAAAACAAATTTCACAAGAGTCTTTGTCGATGTACTGTGAATAGCATTCTATTAGATTTACTGTTTCTTGTCCAACGGTAGATGATGGAAACAGTCAGGCCTATATTTGATCATCTCCTGCCTTAAATGAATTAGCCAGATTATAAATTTTCCTATAGTGGATAAATTTCCTGAATTTTGTCCTTTCGACGAGAGTTCCTGGTAGCTGGCAGAAAAAGAACGTTGATCGGTACAAAAGATTTTTGAGAACATACACAGAAATCCAAGATTCCATACAAGGTCTTTCTAAACTTCTTACAATCTTCTTTCAAATTTGAGTGTGTCTGTTCTCAATAATCATTATTTAGTATTTTATGCATTCCCGAATAATTTAACGAATGGCTCATTGCATCTCCCATCTTACTTTTTTCCCTTATTCACAAAATTTCACTAAATGCTCAATCTACAATTCCTTGCAAATTTAGCTATGTTTCCATTAAATATTTGTTTTTAGGACATAGAGACAAGCACGTGAGATGGCACATAGAAGACTGTCTCATCCATTTATAACCATTACTACCAACTCATTCCTCCTATATACTTTATTAGGTTACCGAAAACACTGATACCGTCTTATTAGGTGCGGGCTGCAAAAAAAGGGGCCAGGCGGTATGGGCCTGGCACAGATACATATAAAATTCAAATAAATACATAACAAAAATTGACTTTTTTCAATCGAATGGGGAAGCTAGAGTCTTGTAAAGTCTTCACATAATTCCTTACACCGTTGAGCATCTTTTCCTTAATGTGTTTAATGTTCTCCTTGTTTTCGTGTCATTATTCATAGTCTGCTTATATCTTGATTTTCTCAGACAACAAACTCTGATTCAAATCGTATTTGGCAAAAGGCACTTAAAAATGAGAAATAAATCCGTATTATACCCGTTTTATACGCCATTTGGCCAAGGCTCTCTTTGATAATGACTCGTATAAGCGTTTCCAAAACTAAGTAAACGTGGATTTGGTGGCATTGGAAACAATTACATCATTAGGTAATAACAAGTTTTCTTTTCAAATCAAGGCTCTTCATCGTGCTCAGTGAAACTGGAAACTTAAGTATTGAATGCTGACCTTATTTCTTTGGTGTTATTTATCTTCTCATTTGGTAATTAACTCTGAACTCAGTTTGGATTTATGAGTCAAAGCAGTCCACTCCTGAGTCAATCCTTGCAGATTAACAAGATCTGCAAGCAGCAAACACCAGAATTGGAAGCAATCCGTCCTTTGTAGGTTTCGAAGCACTCACAGCGTTCCATTTATTAGTTCTCACAACCCACTGTTGCTAACGTCAGTGACAAATAATTAGAAACACTGCTGGCGTAAAAAATGATAAGTTCTAACAAGCAATTTTTGAATACCCCAGGATCGAGTTTTAACCACATGCCGAAACTTTGAACCCGGACTATTTTATTATGAAATGGGTTTTGTTGGAATATTGTCACAGGAAAATTGACATCGTCAAGTAATTTCTTGAACAGATTTACACCCTTCCTCGTCGTTCTGAGACCCCATTTACACTGCCCCGTTCATAAACGAAATGGTGACGGTTTATAAATCGTTCGCTGTCGTAGCAGGGTCAAAACTGTTCCGAGCAAAATAATGGAAGGGCGAGCCGCGATTGTTTTATCACGATTCCAAACTTGCGCGGGACAGTATAAATGAGCTCTGAGTTACTTCATGTTACACATCTAGGTCATTATTCAGCCTGCCATATGAACTCTTCGAAATATGTCTTGGAAAACTGATTGCAAGTAAGCTGCTAATATTGACAATCTCTTAGCAAGCTTTTTATACACAGTCAAAGGGTAAAGCTCATGTTGCAACATACATTTACAAACTGAGTTTTCTTTAAAAGTAAAATATTTAACTTTCTCCATTCAGCTTGCAGTTGGAGCAGACTAAAGAAAGGAATACAGTGTTTAGCGTCAGTCTTTTCCTTTGGCATCCAATTTCTGTATGGCCAAGCAGTGTCAAGTCAGGAATCCTTTTAGATTCTGTATCGAGCATCGGCCTATCGGCGCCAGATTGCGGTTAGTAAGAGTAAAACATATTCTTGGCATCCAGGAACATCATTGGAACAGCATTGGGAATAAGATAATTACCCTTAATGCGTTTGAGCCATTTCAAATGTTCCTGTCTAATTTTGCTGACATTACTTCTATTTACCAAAATTGACGAGTTTGACAAAAAAGAAAACAAACTATGGAGAGGATAAATAATTTTGTTTCATCCGCTTTCATAATGAGCAAACATTTTCCTGAACTTTCCAGCAAACCTATAGCTATAGCACGCTATAATCACTGTCAGAAAAGTCCTCTTATGCATTATCTCTAGTAGCATGACCCAATAGAGTTCTAAAGTGTGACGTCATCAAAAACCTATTTTTAGAGTTTTTGAATTTTAACCACATAGGGTAAAAGATCACCATGAAATACTTCCAAACATGCAAAATTGGCCAGATATGTCTAAAATCGGTTGAGATATGGCTAATGAAAGATTTGAGGTTTGCTAACGAATCACTGTTGTTTTGGCTCTGTTCATAAAGTTATGAACAGAGACCAAAATACAGAGGTTTGATGAGGAGAGAACCAGTAAACATGTGGCCATATTTCTGCCATTTCGTAATACACTTGCCTGATTTTGCACATTTAGAGGTATTTCATGATGATCTTTCAAGTTATTGAGTCAAAATTCAAAAATTCTAAAAATAGATTTTGGTGACGTCATCACTTTAGAACTCTATTGGGCATTTCATTGAAGACAAGGGTGACGTGATTGGCTGCCTATTAGTCGGTGTGATTAGTTTATTCAGTTGACAAGTCCAAATAAATGGCGGGAAAAAGTAGCGAAGAATGACCCAAAGGACCGATTTAAAGAAAAAGTTGAACTATTTATATCAAGCCTCTACTTTAGGTAAATAGTGGGTTATACTGTGAGGCTATATCATATTGTAATATCATATGATAACATCGTGTGTTGATATCAAAATTACGACTATTTTTAGCTGCGTTTGAAAGTCAGGGAGCAATTTTTTTGAAAATTAATCAATATAAATCAAAAAACGTTTTTTTCTCAAAATTATTTAATCATTGAGGGACTGATTTCAATACTTTAGTTATGTTTTTTTAGTTAAACTCAACATTTTACAGCGAGAAGAATGCTTATCATACCTGTATTGATAAAAAATATCTACAGTTGAAAGTAGTTAGACGCATGGGGCCCAGCTCATATGGACTAGTGGCCTCTTTGGCCTACTGGCCTTCTTCGTCACCAAATATTTTGCTAAATTATTGCTTATCTCTAAGAACTCAGAGAGAAAACCAGTCAATTCATAGAATAATCAGAACACTTTACAGATAAAACCTATATAATGAGCAAAAGACTAAAATAAAATATTTGTTTTCATCTTCTATAAGGAAGTGCTGCTTAATATTTAATATTTATTAATAACCAGTTGCCAACTGAAACATGTAGATCCAAGTAAAGATTAACAGACAAGTGTGAGCTACTATAAAATTCTTTTATGAAAATCATCCCCGTGTGAATGCCAGTTTTAGTGAATTTTTGCTTCGAGTGTGTACTGTCGTTATGGAATTGCTTACTGCGTGTGGCCAGGTTACTACCACAAACTTCAACTGATATGTCAATCAGGTCACAGATACTCCACGCGTGGGCATCAAAATACCACGAGTCAAGAAGTTCGCAACCATTAGTGTACGACATCAAATTTTATGAAAATTGAACCTTCTTACGCGCTGAAGAAAGACACGGGGCTCCTCTAGAGATAAAACTTCCAAAAGGTGGCAGTGTTTGGTACCCTTTTGGTTGTTTGGTTTTGTTGCTGATAACTGAAAGATCATTCCTGTCCCCTATTCTGCCCCCAGATCATTGCATAAAGCATGCAGTGGTAAAAGTTTTATTTATCGTGATGCCTTTTGATATCAAACAGCAAGCTATTTGCTGCACAAATGGTGTGTTGATAAAAGTCTTATAAGGAGGTTCAAATTGCAAACGTTGTACACCCATTTTGTTTTATAAGAAACCGTCTATAAGAAACCCTGCCCAAACATTGCCAAAAATCAAGAAGCCGGATTTCTTATCATCATGAAAACTCCTCGAAAATCTTTTCGACGATTAGGCTCTGGCTCAATTGACATACATAGATACAAGAAGAAAGAGCTCATTGTGACTCATTAGGTGTTCTGTTTTTTGTTATTCTTATGCTAGCTACGTTTTCGTGATTCTGAAACTTCACTCTTTGGCATTCATCAGGAGCTTAGCTTCTTATTAAAAAATGCGTGATCTCTTTGATAAAGTGAAAAGAAGATGAAAAGACGTTGAGAACCTATTATGACATATATACATTACAATATCTGCAACTCATTGATGCTCATACTATAAAGATCACGTAAAGATCAATTAATCGTGCTACTCATTGATACTCATACTATAAAGATCATGTACAGCATGACCAAAAAAGATTCACATACCATGGAAATAGTTTTGATCAATCCTAAGTATTCAAAATTCAGCCATGGCTTGGTAAAGGGAGAGCTGTTTTCGTTATAACTTATAAACTCGTTATGTGTTGGTACTAGGAACCCTCTTGCTTATCTTGTCTGAAATGAATATAAAGATACGACATTTTTTTATTCATGCACTATGCTGCACCACAGAATAAGAATTCTGTGGCTGCACGTTGGTTGTAATTAAATGAAAGGATGGTAAATGAAAAATTACATTGTCTACAGAAAATAGAAAAATGACAGTGCTTGGTAACTAATTCGGTCTATTAGATAGGATTTTTAAAAGTAAATTCTCTCAGTAGGACATAAAGGCCAAAGAATGACATCTGCTAAGATAAGGGGGTGAAAAGTTAAACATCTTTGCGTGTCTACAGTACATAGAGCCTAACCTATTCTTCTACTATGTTAGATAATCTTTCTATCAGCTCTTTAGGCGTCTTTGGTTTGGTTTGGTTGGAGCAACTATGTATTACCAACTATTTTATATCATATGGTTGGTTGGCTATCATTTACAGCTAATGTGCCATACAAACCTGTTAATGTAATTCTCAATCACTTATATTTGTTTCCCGGCTTTTTTGCCAAACAAGGTTGCCAGAGAAGTGAATAGCAGTATGCAAGAAGGCCTAATGACAGTGGCGTCGCTTGACCTTTCGTACTAGGGGGGAGGGTTATCAATAAAAAAAATTACCTATGGAATCATAAATGGAGAAGAATTTAGGTACTATTTTGTCTACTGATAGATGATTTTACCGACAAACTGAGGATTTTGCAGACAAACTGAAGATTTGCCGGCGAATCCATAAAGTATTGTGGGTGTTACACCCCACTTCTAGCTACGCCCCTGCCTATTGAAGAGCAACAGTGGTTTAAATTTACTTTTCAAAATATAAAACCTAAATATATTTTAAGGTATTGCACCCTAAACGCAAAAGGTGATAAAAATGCGATTAACCAGATTTAGATAGATTAATCATAGATAAACATTTAGGCCTGGAGATAGAAGCAAGCTCATTTGACCTGTTTATATTAGTTAAGCCAACTTTATGAGAAAGCCAATCAAGAAATATGCTGGGGTGAAACATTAGTTTACTTCTAATTTAATTCAAATGCTTTGGCTGCTCGTTTTAAATTTGTATATCTGCATTATATTTGCTTGTTTCTCGTCGTTTTGCGGTGTTCCTACTATCCATTTATTGTCCACACCTGGCATTGCAAGATTTACAGAATCCTACGGATGGTCCTACCCCACGAAAGGTCTTATTCTTTCTTGCATGCATAAAAAGAAATATCGCTTTTACAGGGCCAGCGAAACGTATTTGAAAGTGGAAGGGCCAAGTATCAAAGGCTTGAAAGGGCTTAGGTTAGGGCGCCATCATAGTAGACGGCAAGAAAAGTTTTTGAATTGTTGTGTCTTAGGGATGGCCAGAGACTGTGTCTAAAATGGATTTTGAATGAACGTAAATCCGAGGCAGTATATTTAAGCGTTATTTTATCAACATGTCCCTAGTCTCGTCTGTTGTGATCTTGATTTGGAAAAGGAAAGGTCTTGCAAAGCTTTAGAATAACCTTTATAATATAGCTCGTAATGAAACTCTTTTTTAGATTTATATGTACCCAAAATAAGATGGAGGAGAAAAATAAATGAAACAAGGTTTAGAAAACATTGAATATCAACAGAAGAACTGTCAACTAAAAAAAGGATTAAGCAACACTTGGAATATTGTTTTGTAACATCTGATCTTAAATGCTTTTAACAAAAAATCTGGATTTTAAAACTTTCAAACTGCGCTGGTCAAAAAGAGTTTTAATAGAATTTGTAATTGAGTCTAGATTTTATCTTTCTTAGTAGGAATGGATTATCGATACAATCAAACTTTGAAGTTTTCTTGATGTTACTTTTGTAGGAGAAATCTGTCCATTCTGTCTTTCTCATATCCTCAAAAATTTTCTTCTCCTCAGTTTTTTTCCCTTCAACAGCGATTTATCTCTTCTTGCAATGTTTCTGAGAAATTCGTTGGTAACAAATAGACTGTGTGAGCCAAGTTTAGGCAATAGAAAAAACAAAACTCCGTCAATTTGTGCTGGCACCAAGTTATTCTGGATGAGGTTTTTTAATCTTTTTCTGAGCCAAGCTGTTACTCGTTGTAAAATCTAGACAATGACCGATTTCTTCGATCGAATTCCCATATTAGATTCATATATTTCTTCTTTGGTAAAGACATAGCAACCAAGATAAAGCTAAGGGCATATTTAAGAGAATACTAGGAACAGTTACTTGCAAATTGATATATTATATTTATTTTTACATTTGCCTTAAATTTTCTTTAGCTCTGCAGAAAAGTGGGGGGTCATTGCCCCCCAGCCCCCGGTTTCGCCGGCCCTGTTTTAACAGAGCACAACAAATATTACCTTGCTAACTCACTTGAGCCAGTCTAGGTAAGCATGATTGGTTTTCTACAAATGTAAACCCCACCTCTCCTCAAAAAAGCAATTTTTTCGTTGTTTATGACTGTGAAATACCGTAATAATGGGTCAAACGAAATCAGATATAAGAAAATCGTTTACTCAAAGTAAGAAGATAAAAAGGGATTTCTTAACGAAAATGCTTGGCTTCCAAGCAATAGATTTGAAATCCTTTGTGAAGAAAGAGATTAAAATTCAGTTGTCTCAAATGTCTTTAACTTTTAATCATTAACTAAATATCATGAGACATTAATATCATGCCTGCAAACTCGACTCAAAGGACTAGGATTTATGTACTGTCGGCTTGCAAGGACATGCAACGTAGAACGTTTGTAGGCCAAGTAAAGAGTTTTAAAGTAACTTGTATTGGGGAAGGGAGCACACACAATGGCGTAACCAGGCCCGTGGACACTGGGGGATAGGGGAGCAATGCCCCCGAATTATTTGCGAAAATCGTGTTTGAAGATCTTTTAAGCGCAGCTTGATCTGACAGAATTTCTCAAGGCAGGTATAGAAAAAGCTATATTTCTATCCATGCCTCCCCCTAATCCAGTTTAGCTGTCTACGGGCCTGGGTGCAACAGAGGGAGCCGGACCCCTATGATCAATTCAGCTTGGTGCCGCCATTTGTAAGCATTATACAAAACAAAACATGGTAATGAACAAACTTTACATTTATTCAGACTGGTATATATCATACAGTCTTGGGACTCCTTGACCTTGTTTATCACATCCAAATATAAGCTTCAAAGTGAATAAAACATAGACAATTTTTCCTGGGGGCCTCTAAAGGCTAAGAGCTAATTTTTAAACTAAATTCAATTTTAGTCCGTTACGCCACCGAGCATACATTTATGTTGTAGTGCTGAATAAGAATATTTGCTAAATTTCAAAATGGCTCGAAACAACGTTCTCTTGAAGTGTGCTTTATTCTCAAAATTTGCTATAGCATCCTTCAAGTAGTAACGGTTTAGATGCATTCAGAACCATTTTCGTTGGAAGCGTGTTCTCCCTTCCTTTAGCCGGCTTAACAAAAAACATTAAGAATGGGAAAATCCATTTTCCCATTCTAACCGCTTCATAGACAACCAAAGATCAGTAACGATAAGATTTTATTATGCAAGAAGAAAAAAAATTCAATCTTAATCCTTTCTCTTCTTTTACCCATGTCACCTAAAATCCGACCAAGGCCCCCCCCCCCCCCCACCGCACCCTACTCTCCTCTCGCCTTGCGCCTCATAGTTTTCGTCATTGCTTCCAATCTTCTCGAGAAATGGAGCCAGTCAGGAAGAGCAACTAATAACTTCACAGCTATTTGACGCATTCCAAAACCCTTGATATACCATCTATGTTTGACGGCCTTAATCCCTCTATCGAAAAGTATATATAAAAACTGTAACAAAAAAGATCTCTGGCCACAGGTCCTTCCTAATGATCTAAACTTAATCCACGTGCAACTGTTTAAAGTCTTTGTTGCTAGGCTGCGCTTTGGTCTAAGAGAAATTGAAATTTAAAATTGTCAATATGACGTGGGTATCAATTCAAACGTGATTACAGTGTATGCCACGGGATGAGAAACTAATACCTTTATTGCAATAAACTTTTTAAAATGTTAGGGTATCAATCATTTGTGTCTTTTCGTGTATTCATTTGTACAGTCACATTTATTCACGATTTAGCCATGAGTCCATGAAATTTTTGCTTTTGTTTTTTTCAATTTCTTTTGTCCGTGAGGAGATCGTGCCACATTTGGCTTCGTCACAAGCTGAATCATAAAGGGTCACTAAGCCCTTCTCAGGAACATATAAGACTGGTTCAAGATTTTATATGGGCCTTATATATTGCTTGTATGTAAACCAGGGCCCGCGCCATGAATTTTAAAGTGGGGGGGGGCCAAGGCTAAAAATGTAGGGGGCCAAGGCTTCTTACCACTTTTATTGCAGTTTTAAAACTACTTGCTTCGCAAAAAGTGGAGGACTATGGCCACTCTGGCCCCCAGTGGCGCCGGCTCTGTAAACAGTTAGGTAATTAAAAATGCAAATAGGGAGGGGGATGTGATAATGTTTTGGAAATGGCTTCAATCGATGGCTTTTCTCGAGAAGAAATTGCTGAAGTTCAGTAAGATCAATTCAGTCACTAGGATGTTTAGTTGAGTAAGATGTTTCCTACGCCAGTGATCTAATCTGTAATGAAATTAAAAGAGTTCCAAAGTTTCGGTGAACAAGGGATGATAATTTTGTTGACTTCTCAAGACTGAGAACATTGAAACTTTAGCAGATGAAAATAAGGTCCCTACATCACACAAGCCTCGTCTCAGTCAAATCATTACAAGTTAAAGGGTCATTAGCCTCCCTTTATTTTGGATCTGTATGAGCACATCAACTTCTTACCCTGCTGAAGAAGTAACAAAAGCCGGTATATTTTGCCTTCCTACGGTTGAAATTCAACATTATATTTGAAAGTTCTGAAGGTGAAATATCCAGGAAGAATAAGAAGCTTTTTTTGCCGATTGATTGTAACTGATACTATTTTGCTCTTATCTGGGATTTATCTGACTTTCAGCAAACTGATGTAATCTAAGTGAGCCGTTATATGGCTAATAACGGTGCAGGAAAAACTTCCCAATATTTGAAAGTATTTCCCACTTTTACATAGATATCAAACAAATATTTCTTCGTTGTATAGAGTTCATAACATAATGTAATGTAGGTCACTTGTGGCAATGATAGTTGTAGGGGTAAACCTGCTCCAAGAGACCAACTAAATACAGAGTAGTAACGTGGAAACACATCACACGAGTTTTAACTGCATATAAGCACATTTAATAATATTTATACTGAGATGATCTTCATGAATTCGACAATGTAGACAATTCATTGAAGACAATTTAAGACTAACGATATCTAAATCTCCTTTTATATTGTAGCATTTTTTACTTTAAAACTTTGACGTTGATATAGTTTCTACGTTTCTACGATTTTGGAGGAAATTACAGCATTTTTAATTATTTCCCCAAAAGTTTACCAGACATACTGATTCGAAGGGCGTAGCTTGATACTCATCGTACAGAGAACTAATCCAATGGTTTTCATAGCAAAGCCTCAGGTTCTGAAAAGATTTCTCCCAATTAACATTTGATCGTTACAAAGCTCCAATTCAATTTCCTGTTCCTAAAGCCAGGTTCCCACATGGTCGTTTGGGTCGTCTGCTTTTATTGCCAATGATATTATTCAACATTACGATCTCTTTATTCTGGGTGCCTAAACAAAGCGAAAATATCTTGGAAAGAACATTTGTTTAGATTTTTGAGCACACGAGGCCTTTTGCTGGAATCTTTGGAGCCCACGAGGTTTAATTTAACTTGAGTTTTCATTGACTGTCTGGTATTTTACCCTATATACCATAAAATTACTTAATTTGAATATTATGACCAAGGACTTTCTGAAGACGATTACTTGAAGTTCAACGCCATCTCTGCCGAGCCTCTATAGGGTGTTTCTAATTACCAAATGGACAGAATTATTGTGAATTTACATTTGATATGGATAGATGTACAAAAGGTAAAACAGCATAGCTACTGGACACGGAAACAGGACACAGAAATTGTTTATGGTTCATGTTGCCATATCGTGACCTTTTTAAACCGAGAAATCTTAAAGGAAATGTGAAAGAGCAAATACACCAAAGGGTAGCTTAGGGAAACATATAATTTGTCGTCTATGAAAAAAGCAGCGATAAGTAGATTGTTTATTCAATGACTATTAAGCAAAAAGAACTCAAAAACAAACTTGATATCCACTAATGACAGATAATGGAACATCTCTTGACTTATTTTCAAAGTGATCTTAGTTCCATGCACCTTTATCCGTTGTAACAAGCATCTCTCATCAACTGAGAAAATTCCCCTCGCTACATCGGGTTCAGAGTAACTAAACGGTAAATCTAAAATTGTGTGCCTTTCATCCATACAAGATAGTGTTTATCAAATGCCTGTTGTTTATGAACAGAAGTGGGAAATCTATATATAGTACTGAAGTTCCGTCCGTTTTAAAGCGACCGTGCATGATATGCAAAATGCTGAAGACTCTATCGATCGCACTTTATAAACTAGAATGGGAATGAAGTAATGCAGACTGTAATCGTGTTGCAGAGAAATCTGTTAAAAAGGTAGTGAACTGCTGCAAAACGCCATGAAAATTTCACATGCTGGTGTTTCTTCAACGTTTATAAAAATCATAGCAATCAGAGCTGACCTCGAGCCTTTCCGCGACCATGTTGCCTGCGGTGCCAGATTACACAAATTGCTATGGATAAACAACTATGCCGCTAAAAGAGATACCTAATAATGCCTTATTGATGAAACATACCTTTATTCAGCAACCATTCGAAGAGCGAACGATTAACAGCACCGTGTGTATCGCATAATTTCTTGTAATCGTTACCTGGATCCTGACTGGTTTCAAAAGACTTTGTAAGAACCTTAGAGACTTGCAGTCCGAACCTGCCTCTACCTACAAATTATCTCCTTTGTCGTACGTAGCAACGGGTATTTGTCTTACAAGCGACTGCATTTACTCTTCGCGCAGCGGCTCGCTTTTGTTCGCTGCAAACGTTTAACTCAAATATAGTTCACGCCGTCGCAATGACTCTTTTCAAGTTTCCGGGGAATATTTTCGTAAAGATCAACCAATGAACACAAAGCATGTTGGTAAGCAAATATGTTGTGAATAGGTCACTTATTTTAATCCACCGAAGTCTAGGTAAAGCGGTTAATTCTTACGAAAGGGCAAAAATGTTTTTTGATTACATTTTCAGTAGAAGCTTTCACATTTGCCGGACTTCGTTTTTTAAAACTGCACTAGATTAGATGACACAGAAGTTGGGCCGTAGTTACCAAAGACATAATGCAGGGCCTCCGACGAAGAGGGGGGGCCGGGGGGCCTTGCCCCCCCACTTTTTCGCAAAACAATAGAGTTTTTTTCAAAATCTTTTGTTATGGGTGTTAAATTTTCTCTTGCCCCCCCCCCCACTTTTCAACCTTTGTCGGAGCCCATGTAATGGGGGCACATAAATGGAACCTTGGCAATTAATGATAGAAAACTCAAAGCCCGAAATTAACCAGCATCACAAACTTAATCATAGTATTACCTTTCTACTGTTAGTTTAACAATAGTGTGAACAAAGAACTTTGAACTGATTATATTTTTGGGTGATTTATTTCATTCAGAAGAGAATTCCAAATCTTTGGACCCAAAAAGCTAATAGATTTTATACCAAAACTTGTAGTTTTAACCTCGGGAACAGATATAATGTAAATTCTTCGAAATAGCTATGAGGTTTTGGGAGAAGGTGGTCTTTCATAAAGGCTGGATTAAAGTTGTGCAAACTTACTTAAGCAAATCATTGGGGGTACGGCCTCTCGTAGCCCAAAAAACCCTTGTGCCCCTTGAAACCCCCGTACCCTCTTCAAACACTATGCCCCCTGTACGCCCTGTACCCAGTGGTCCCTGTCACTATCTGCGGCATGCAAAGAAGCCCATAACATTATAAAACACTGATAAATGACTACCTGAAAGTTATGATTCATATCCCAGAGTTAACGTTATTAAGAATGGCTTTTTACTATGGTTACTCTTATGTAAATAAAGAAATTGATACCCAGAAGAAAATTATGTGCATGTATGCATACACGTTACCATGCCAAATGTTTCAACACATTCAGCAAACTATTTCCAATCATTCATGCAACAATAACAAATCCCATTCAGCTTTCAAAAATTACTCAACCTAAAAAATCACTCAGCGAACAAAAAAATATTCAGCTTTCGAAAAATCGTTCAGGCGTCCAAAAACAGTTCAGCTCTTAAAGACGTCATTTAACCTCAAGATCTCCTGATTTTCTAAAAAAATCATTCCTTTGCCAATTGCTCTTTCGTTGCGGAATTTTTTCAACTAGCCCTAAATAGGCCTATATTAGAAAGAAAATCTTCTAAGCCTACTATAAATTAATTTCATTGTCAAACTATTATACTAGCTAATCATCATACTATCTCACCAAAAATATACTTTTCAACAACAAACCGTTACTTTCAACAACAACAAAATTGTGTTACGTTATTGTCACACGTAACACAATTTTTTTATAGGATGCAATTTTGCCTAAAAAAACACTTTATT